ACAAAGGGATGCGAGGATGCTGCTGCAGCACACTCCCATGTTTCTACCCTGCATGTGAGGCGGTCTGATGGATTGACTGTCACTGGCGCATTTTTAGGGTCATCTTCCATTCATTTGTTGCACTTCTTTCCTGGCCACCCCCCTCTCCTCCAGCGTTGTAAATGGATTTCTCAATAACTGATCTCCTCAGGCATTTATACATGTTACATTTTTTTGTTGGTTTCTCTGATTCCATTTTTAAAAAAATTTTTTTTTGAGACGGAGTCTCACTCTTGCCCAGGCTAGAGTCCAGTGGCGTGATCTCGGCTCACTGCAGCCTCCGCTTCCTGGGTTCAAGCGATTCTTCTGCCTCAGTTTCCTGAGTAGCTGGGACTACAGGCATGTGCCACCATGCCCAACTGATTTTTTATTTTTAGTAGAGATAAGGTTTCACCATATTGGCCAGGCTGGTCTTGAACTCCTGACCTCATGATCCACCCACCTTGGCCTCCCAAAGTGCCGGGATTACAGGTGTGAGCTACCGTGCCTGACCTAAAAAATATGTATTTTTAAAGAGCTGTTTTAGACCCACAGCATCTGATTCCATTGTAAGCCTGATCTTCCCAGTCTGCTCTGAATCAGAACCAAATAACTCTTTTAAAATAAATGCACGCTAACAGCAAAAATAGATGTTGCTTTTGAAGCTAAAATTTGTTTCATGTCTCCCTTCTAGACTGAAAGCTTCACAAGGGTAGGGTTCCAATCTGTTTTACTTACCCCTGAATCCCCAGAGTTCACCGGTGCCTCACACATAGGCACTCAATATTTGATGAATGAATCAAAGTAGCAAGGAACTCTTGTTCAAAGACTCATGTTGCATAGCCTTCAAAAGGAACCAATTTCCTTTCAAATATGTAAGATTTTCTTGAACTTTTCTCTCCCTTAACCAGCACAACACTGATAGTACAACAAAGAACATAAACATCTAAAAACTGTTTTTGGTGATGCAAAAATCCCTATTATAATCCTAGCACTGTGGAAATCTAATGATCTGATGCAGGATAATTGTGAAATCAACTCAGTCAAGGTAAGCCTGAGGACCACTCTGTGTGCCCTCCATCTCCAGGAGAGCTATTTTCAAACTTTCCCCTAATATTCTTCTCATTCCCCACCAAAATTTGATGCCTCTGCTATTCAGAGAAACTAAGGCACAAAAGAAAATCAAGCACATCGAAGGTTCACTCCTAAGTTCATTCAATGAACTCCTAGTAACACCTACCGAGGAATCACTAAGGTGTAAAACTTGAACCATTATTTTACATTTCCAGTTCTCAAGGACAGGCTTTGAATTTACTTTGTTAAGAGGAATTAGCAATTCAAGAAAAAAAAAAAAAGCTTTTATTTTCTGTACCTCCTAACACAAAAGGTAACATTCATCTTCTAGGAAGGGAAACTCTTGATAACTCTGTGTCTTTCTAGGTCAGCCACAGACTACACTAAGTCACCAAATCCAAAGGGGAAATTTGGCTTTTTGGTATTTGTGCTAGAGAACAGTAGAATGTATAATCTGGCCAGCTTCTCTTGGGACACACTGCCAGTGATAACAGGTTTGAAATATGCAGCAGTTCAATCATCCTGCTCACCCTCACCACAGGTGGCAAACAGGTAGGAAAAGGCCATTGCAATGCCCTGCAGCTTTTCTGGCTGATGATTTGCAAGGCTGTTTGCTATATATATATATATTTATATATGTGACAGGATAAAAGCCACCATAAGTGAAGAGTACGTCTGTAGATATAAAAATCCCTTGCTTTTAAATCTATATAAAATTAACTATATTTGTCAATCACCATATGTATATGCTAGCTTACATATATATATATATATATATATATATAGACATGAACTTGACAGTTAACCTAAATTTTTATGGCTTTCACTGGAGATAGAAAGCTGTAGTAAGACAACCAGCAAATTCCACATTAACTGGTTATCATAAAATCAGTGGCACAAAGCCTTGTATTCCATTTCTATGTACCCTCTTGCTAGAGACATGCTTTGGGAAAAACACACAGGGTTGTGTCTCCCTTTAGTGCATATGGAGACAGGGAGCTCTAGAAGACGTGGGTTGCAAGGCAGAAGAGTTTTAACACATGCACTCACCATCTCTCCAGCTTCCTTTGCCAAGCAACTGGTTATCTTTTTTTTTTGAGATGGAGTTTCGCTCCTGTTGCCCAGGCTGGAGGGCAAGCAATGGCGTGATCTCACTGCAACCTCCGCTTCCCAGGTTCAAGCGATTCTCCTGCCTCAGCCTCCTGAGTAGCTGGAATTACAGGCATGCACCACCACGCCCAGCTAATTTTTAAATTTTCAGTAGAGACGGAGTTTCACCATGTTGGCCAGGCCCATCTCAGACTCCTGACCTCACGTGATCCACCTGCCTTGGCCTCCCAAAGTGCTGGGATTACAGGCGTGAGCCGCCACGCCCAGCTGCAACTGGTTATCTTTATGTGTTAATAGCTGAAGCCCAAACTGTGGGATGAAGGCTACTGGCTGTCTGGAGCCCTGAACAGGTATGGAAATAATTCTTAACAGCATCAGTGACCAAAATCTATAACCTATGTAAAGCTGCTGTCTGGTTACTAAGCACATCTTTCTGCTCAGGAACCAACTTCAGGGAAATGGCACAAATTACACAGGAAAATCTCTCTTTGGTGAAGAAACAGAGACCACCCTTGCAGTAAGTGCTGACCGCAAAACTGCCCGCTACTTGTTACGGTAAAGGAGCTGTCCAGTAAAGGTGCCCATTACCGGTTATTACTGTTGGCAACCAGAATTCACAAGGATTTGATTGTATTCTTAGAAGTTAACCCATAATTTCTGCATTTTTGGAGCTCTTAATTGAATAAAAGCTGACAATGAAGGTCCGCTATTGTAATGCTCCTTAATATACCCTTTGCATTCTAGAGCTGCTACATTTAAGTCATCCAAAATATTAATAGTGGCAACAGCTTCTTTTTTTTTTTTTTTTTTTTTTGGTGAGACACAGTCTCACTCTGCCACCCACGCTGGAGTGCAGTGGCGCAATCTCAGCTCACTGCAACCTCCATCTCCCAGGTTCAAGCAATTCTCCTGCCTCAGTCTCCCAAGTAGCTGGGATTACAGGCGTGTGCCACCACGCCCAGCTAATTTTTTGTATTTTTAGTAGAGACGAGGTTTCACCGTGTTGGCCAAACAGCTTAATTTTTATAAAAATGATGGGCAAGATGATTTTAAAAATCAAAAGCAATTATACATTGGGCTTTATGTAGTCCCAGCTACTTAGAAGGATGAGGTGGAAGAACTGCTTGAGCCCCAGAGTTTGAGTCCAGCCTGGGCAACACTGCAAGACCCCATATCAAAAATAAAATGATGGAAGGGACAAGGATATTTGGCAAGTGGGTTAAGCTCATTCAAAGTATTCCTAACAGGAATTCATGTACAACTATAGATCTATTCCTAAAAATAAATATACATATACATACACAAAAAGCTATCCTAATGAAATCTTTCCCCGACTGATATTACATATTCCACCTGGAACTGTTTCCCAAATCTCCAAGGTTCGTCCTGCTTATACGGAAGGTCCTTTAGGAGGGAGTCTATTGTCATCATTAAGTTCCCCGACCCTTCCCACCCCGTGGTTCCAAAGATTTATAAGCTTAGAATACATTCCCAAACCACCGCCCATAAAGCAAATACAGGGTCCCATTGCATTGCTACTATATTTTGCATCAATCATAGCACCAACTATTTAATTACAATCACAGCTTTAAGTCAGTTGACAGAAATCCTATGAGCAGTTTCCTAGTGCATCGTACATCTTTGGTGTAGGGCAGGCGAAAGGGTCTACAATGTGCAGCTGTCTAAAAGAACATCTTAAAGACAGCCTGGCTGACCTGCTGTTCTTAGCGCCCTCTGAAAAGCAGTAAACTACAACTCCTTCTGTCAACCATTGCCTAACTACATAAAGGATCATGATGAATCTACGTGACTTGCCATCCCGTCACTAAGGTCTTGTAACATACATACAAACATCATAGCAAAAGGAAAGAAAGAAGTTGGATGGGGTAGAAAAAAAGGTCTCTAAGTGTCCCTAAATTAAAATTTCAAAAACTCCTGAGATATGAGCCTCCATTTTGATTGTGCTCAATGACTTAAAATTTGATGAAACGAACAAGGTTACAAAGAGTCAGACTTCAGACAACATCATTTAACACTAAGTTGATAAATCACTCTTTCGAAGCGTCTGTTTCAAACATGTTACAAACTATAATCTAGAATCAGAAATTATGAATCTCAAAATTCTTTTCAATAAAACCAAGATTTCAGATTCCTGCTAGGTACCCAAGAGAGCAGTCTGCCAGGAAAGAATGATCTAAAATCTATCCAGTAGGGTTATTGCACAGTGGGGCCCACAGGACGATGGTTTCCAAGGGCTAGTCCTTATATAAAAAAAGGCCACAATAAATACATCTATATATTATGCCCCACTCTAACTTGACATGGTAAACACAAATATGATGAATTTTGCTTAAAAAAGAAACTCCTGAGGAAAGAAAAAGATGGAAAACTCTACCAAGGCCACTTAAGTCAGAAACTGTAATTACTATTACCACTGCCACAAAGGACACTCTCCAAATAGACTGACCATTCCAAGCACCAAGATTAACTAGTGACAAGGTTACCACACTTCAGTATCTCACTCAGATTACAGCTCGCACTGAGCGTCTGAAGAACTTCCTGGCAGAAGATGAGTCTAGAAAGGAAATAAGCTGCTGGCAATCAATCCATTCCTGAACTTAAGCCCATCATTAGTCATTAAGGGTTGAGGTGTTATCAGTGAGATGCTAGCAAACCCAAACTCTAGCAAATTCCAGTGTTTAGGCTATTATTTTTCCCTCACAGTTCTTGACATCTGCAAATGGAATTATGGTTGTTCTATTCTTTTAAAAATCTGGATAGCACCATGTTTCACTCTCGTTGTAACTGCCCCACAATATGCCATCCAACGTAATAAGGATTCATGGCAATCCATGCAGCAGCCTGCGATGCACAAAGGAGCCCAAGATTTAAACCCTCCTGCTCACCCTATTAAAATGTCAAATTCTAAGCACACAAATAAAAACATACCACTCTACAATAAGGTATTCAATTATTCTCCAATTTCCTGTTACAATTAATGATTCATGATACACAGAGCGCTGGGTAGAATTCCAAACACCAAACTATGTGGTCAAAAGTTTCTAAATTGACAACTGAGCCAGCAAGTCACACCTTGCCATCAGCACAGACACACACAGTATGGAGAGTTAATCTGTTTTTAGCTGGATGGGTAGTGGGATTTCTCATGGCTTTTGCTTTTCAAAGCATTTACTCTCATTCTAAAACAGTATGCTATACACAAAACCATCCATTTTATTCCAGGATACATCTTAATGAGAATAAAAAGCTTTTGTATGCACATACTGCCAATACATTTAAAAAGGCCTAAATTTTAACAAGTAGGATAGACAAATTCATCGGACAAGAGATCATAAATTACTTTGGCCGAAAAAAATCTTTAAAAAAAATCTGGCTCAACATTCTGCTTGCAGGTCTCTACATATACTGTATATGTGGTGAGTGTGTATGTGTGTGTGTATAGAGAGAGAGCTTTCTTTTGTTTAAAGGGAATGGACAACAGTCTAGCCCACTTTCCCATAGTCATGTAGGAACTACGATGTTTTTTGCGAGCAAAACAAGAAGTGCAAGGTCTGCATTCCCACCAACTCGATGCAAAGCTCCAAGAGCTTCCTGCAAAGTAAAGCCAGCACGGAGAATCCGGTCAATATCTGCAGCAGGAAAAATCAATGGTGGAAGAATGGCAGGACTTGATGATGGATGGCTGGTAGGTGGTTCATATTCAAGTAACAGCCTCGAAGCTTCAGGACAGACATTTTCTGTGGTTTCCGGCCTGTCTGTTACTGAATTCTGTATGCCCTGACCTAAGTCTTTAACCAATATGAAATTGGATGACAAAGACTTAGTTTGCTCAGAAGTCTGATTGAGTGCATCCTCCTCACCTGCTAAAAGTTTGGGTGAAATTTCTACACCTAAGGTGCAGTGTAACTGATCAGATGTTTTAGCTGAGGTTACAGTGACAGAACTGTTCTTGTTTATGGATTCCCTCAATTTGGGGACACCTTCCTCATCAGTTGACAGACCATCACCTAGACTCCTGAAGTTTCCACTTTCTACAGCTTCTATTCCAGTGTCAGATGAAGTAACTGTTAATTTTTCTGTCTTCACTGATACAGATACGGTCTGATGAAAGGAGACTTGTGGACACTGTTCAGTCCCGGTAAGATGCTCATTTTGGGTCCATCTTTCAGAAAGGTCTTTAATACTGGTTTGGCCCTCAGCTATGGTTTCTGATTGAAAGATTACTTCTTCAGATGTATTTTCTGAAGCTGGTTTACTGCTAACAACCAAAAGTTCATGAAGTTCTTTCAAGGCGGCCGTTATAGATGAACAAGATTCTTCTGCTGACTCCACAGAGGGCTGACAACTGCCACAGAGACTTGGAGAGGAGGAGCAATGGCCATATTCTTTATTTGTTCCAGATATTTCAACATTAGTTTCTGGGGACTGTAAATCCTGAGTGGAAATGGAATCATTCAAAATTTCAGATGAAGGGTTACATTTTGATGTTTCTACTTCCATCAAGGGATTATCTAAAGTGAGATCCAATGCACCAATGTTCTTGACATCGGCATTCTGCCTGCCTGTTGAATTAAGCACAGTAACTAGGGACTGTTCAGCTATATCTATTTCCATAAGTGTTTCTGAATTTGAGCAGCCACTGCATCCTGAAGGTGGAATACTTTTCTTCGTACTCGGAAGATCCACATTCTGTGGGAGCCCATTTCCTTTCATCGTAGCTTCCAAATCAACAATTTTGTGTTGATTCTGTTGCCTTTCTTCAGGAAGCTCAAGGTCCCCTATGTTACAAAGATATTCTTGGTCATGTGAAGCTTTTTGTTGTGCAACCTCATACTGTTCATTCCCTGCTTGTTCGTGCTGCTGAGGGTCACTCACTTGACTCAGGTTATGGTTTTCTGGATGCCAATCCTTTTCACCTAGAAACATCTGTGGTTCATGCATCCTAGTAGATGTGACAGATAAACTAGCTTCCTGTCTTGTATGGAGATGAAATTTGAGGCCCTGGATGCTTCTTTCAGCAGATTTCTCCAGATTACCTGCAACAGTTGTTTCTTCGGATGAATTCTGCATAGGTATAGCTGGACTCTGGTCTGTTGGAGCATGGTCTGCTGAGGAAGCATGATCGGAAAGATCTTGTAAAGAAAGATGTTCTTTCTTTTTAGAGTTTATCTGGAATTCAGCTGAAGCCTTCAAAGCCTTCACAGCTTTAGGTTCAATGCTATCTGGGTCACTGGGCTTGATAGGGCAGACTGAAGCAGAGACAGAGCGAGCAAGACTCATAGGATTACCAGTATCAGGACTCTGTCCTAAAGAATGGGCTGGATGGTTAAACCCATCTGAAGTTAGTAATGATGACATTCCCAGTGAGGTAGATTCTTTACCGCTTTTCTCTATATGGAACACAGGGGAAAGGAAAAATATTAATTAGCAGGTAACTAACGCCACTAAATTACCAGAGGATACAAATCTAAATAGGGCAGAATAAAATAAGGTCCTCAAACTCGAGTTTCTCTTATACAAATAGAAATGATTTTAAAATTACTTTCTCATTGTGGTAGACAATCACAACATCAGAATAAGAGGTAGATGCGTTCTTAATAAAATATGCACACTGTAATTCAATGTGATTAAGTACCATTAACATGCATTCACAAAATGGCGGGGTTAGTGCTCAGGACTGAAGGACATTTATGTTTCTTTATTCCCTAGTCTAGTCTACAACTCTAGAATAGTTTCTCCAAGTGTATTTTTTTCACCACTTGCCCTAAAACGACCAGGGATGCTTGTGATGTATGCAGACACTGGGGTACCATACTTGAGAGTAAATCCAGGAATGTGCATTTTCAATAAGCTCCTTGGGTGATTCTTAAGGACATTACAAATCGAGAGAATCTTTGCACCAGAATGATTCTCATGCTAATGCACTTTTTTGAAAGTTTCAACTGTGAACACTGAGGTTACAAATGAGAAGTCTAAAACCAGGTATACCTGGACAGAGAGGGAATTATAAAGAGAAATAAGAAATAACATAATGATTGGGGACACAGAAGCAAATGTTCTATTTCTAGCCAAGCTTTCCAAAAATCATGGTAAAACTGGGTGAGCATCTGACTCAGAGTACAAAAGTAAACGAATGATCAGCAGATTAAATCACAATCATCATCCTACCAAATAATACAACTTTAAAGGCTTGTAAATTTTTATCACATTAATAGTGTGCAACTAAGTTAAGAATACTTAAGTATTTTAAAGAAAGGGGAATGTGGAGGGAGATGGTTCATTAATAGTTTTTCAATTGGCAATGACTATTTAAATTCATTGCTACTTAATGGCCACCAAAACAAGATGGCAGTCTAAAACACTAGCTCAGTGTAAGTATCATAATGATATCATTAAACATCAGTTCCAGCTCTTCTTTTGCCACTGATTCAGTTAAAAATTGACCTCTATGCACGTAAGATTTTTTTTTTTTTTTTGAGACAGAGTTTCGCTCTTGTTGCCCAGGCAGAAGTGCAATGGCGCCATCTCAGCTCACTGCAACCTCCGCCTCCCAGGTTCAAGCAATTCTCCTGCCTCAGCCTCCCTTACACGTATGCGCCACACGCCTAATTTTGTATTTTTAGTAGAGACGGGGTTTCTCCATGTCGGTCAGCGTGGTCTCGAACTCCTGACCTCAGGTGATCCGCTTGCCTCGGCCTCCCAAAGTGCTGGGATTACAGGCGAGAGCCGCTGTGCCCGACCATTGTAAGATCTTTAATTAAAAATCAAAAAGGGCTGGGCGCAGTGGCTCATGCCTGTAATCTCAGAACTTTGGGAGGCTGAGGCAGGTGGATCACCTGAGGTCAGGAGTTCGAGAACAGCCTGGCCAACATGGTGAAACCTCATCTCTACTAAAAATACAAAAATTAGCCGGGTGTGGTGGCGGGTGCCTGTAATCCCAGCTACTCGGGAGGCTGAGGCAGAAGAATCGCTTGAACCCAGGAGGGAGAGGTTGCAGTGAGCCAAGATTGCGCCACTGCACTCCAGTCTGGATGAAAAAATGAAACTCGGTCAAAAAATAATAATAATAATAATAAATAAAAATCAAAAAGCCAGTAACAAAAATGACTTCAAAATACAATTATTAGGGCAGATGCAACTCAAATGCTCAGTACTAAATGTTAACATCCAACAAGGGGGCTTGATCTTAAAAAGAAGCAAAGCAGTTATATTCAAATGGCTTTAAATCATTCTAATAAACTACTGGTTAACAGCACGAGAAGACAAAGCACTGTTTCAGGAAGCTATTGACTTCCCATGAAACAACCTTACCTTACTTATACTTTAGGGGTAAAAAGGAAAACTGCGCTTATCTCAGTTTAGGCTATACCCATTAGAGTCTAGAAACACAGTTATTAGTTTTTTTATTTTCATCCCACCAGATGTCTAACAGTTATTAGTTTTATTTATAAATTCCTAAGGCTGACTCTGGAAGAGGCTGAATTTTGAACTAATGTTAACAAAAACAATGCATTGTAGTGAAATATCCATGTAAGCAACATAAAGAGGTATGGTAAGGGCCTTCTGGTATTTGTGTGTTAGTTATAAACAAGTGAGGTCAAGGTGAACACACCCTCAATTAATTTTGTACTAAAAAAGTTGCATATAATCCTCCCGTAGCTGAGAAGGTCAGTTTCACTAGCCTAAGTCCTAAATGAAGCAGAGGACCAGGTCAGTTTACAGAATGATAGGAAAAGAGGATGAGGACAGTGGATATCAAGAATAATTAAATGATGCCTGCTTTTAACCTATCCTTACAAGAAAAAGAAAAAGGAAAGAAAGAAGAGAAACTAAATGCTATGTATCTAATTCCAACCAGCCTGCAAACTCCTACAAAGTCTTACGATGATGGCTTAAAAGACCATCTTTCCTCCTCTTAGTAAGTCAGTCAATGTACTCGAGCTGATGTTTACCATATTTACATCAGAGGAAATGAAAGCAGAGTGCTTCCTGAAAATCTGTCAGGCCAGGGACAGAAGGAAAAGCAAAGCCTTAGCTCCTGTTGTTATTCACAGAGTCACCCTTGACAAGTCCCCTGACCTAAGTTTCCATTTCTTCTTCAACAAAATTAAAATTTCTAACCCTCCATAACTCCAGGTAGTTGTGTGCAGTAATGTAAAAAAATAACTTTCAGTTTTTCCGAGGAAAGGGACTTATGAAACCTATAAAAGCATTGTTATCTCCAACAACAAAGTGTTGTGATGCCAATATTCTTGACGTGATATTTATAGTAGCCAAGATGGGGCAGGTATAATAGACACTGTTTTTACTGGGATTTTCTCCCTCTCGCATGGTTCTAATAACGAATACATTTCTCAACAGGAATTTATGTTACATATGCATGTATGCATACCAAAATACAAATGCATATAGGCTAGTTGTAACCAGACTGAACAAGGTGAAATGCTGAATGACAAATGCTAACTTCCCAAACTGCTGCAGATACAGACTTTCAGATCACAGATGACAACTGGATGGAAGGCTTAACATGATGTCTATAAATACCTGGTCTGGGGCCCACTCCAGCTGCAGTACACACACACTACATGCATCATGGCTTCTGACGCTCTGTGTGAATTAGGAAACAGACAAGCAAACTTGGGTTAACAATGCAAACCACACAGCATGCAGGGTTATAGTCTCCGTTCTTTTGTCATCTTTAAAATCAGGAACTGGTAGATTCAAAGTTGGGGGATGTTTCTGTAGTTTGGACATCCAAAATATTTGCTGGTTGCTTTCATTCTCTCACAATATACACAGCAATTTGTTAATTTCAACAGATTTTTAATAGATCTTGTAAAGAAATTAATTTTATGTTTCTACACATAGAGAATTCATGGGCAAATGTGAGACAGGTGAAGAAAGCAGATACATCCGATGGAATTAGGTGGTAAAAAAAACTTCTTATGGAGTAAAGTTGAGTGAACGTATCTAACAGTCCCTTTCCAAATTTCTTTCTCAGTTGAGATTCAATTTTAGAGGAAAACAAACCACCTAATTAAATTCTATCCTAGCTTATCTTCTTTATTTTTTCATCGTTATTTAAATAATACATCAGGCTGAGCACAGTGACTCTGGCCTGCAATCCCAACACTTTGAGAGGTCCAGGAGGATCACTTGAGGTCAGGAGTTCAAAACCAGCTGGGGCAACATAGTGAAACCTCATCCCTACTATTAAAAACATGTTTTTGTTTTTTTTTTAAACATTTTGGTTTTTTTTTAAACATTTTAATATAGAGTTTAAAGTATTTAAAAAATAAGCTTTTTTTGTTTGTTTTTTGTTTGTTTTTTTTGAGACAGAGTCTCACTGTTGCCTAGGCTGGAGTGCAGTGGTGCAACCACAACTCACTGTAGCCTTGACCTCCCCAGGATCAGGAGATCTTCCCACCTCACCCTCCCGAGCAGCTGGACCACAGGTGCACGCCACCATGCCTGGCTAATTTTTTTTTTTTTTTTGGAGAAGGAGTCTCATTCTGTCACCCAGGCTGGAGTAGAGTGGTGCGATCTTGGCCCACTGCAACCTCTGAATCCCGGGTTCAAGCAATTCTCCTGCCTCAGCCTCCAGAGTAGCTGGGATTACAGGTGCCCACACCATGCCTGGCTAATTTTTGTATTTTTAGTAGAGATGAGGTTTCATCTCTACTAAACCTCATGAAACCTCATCTCTACTAAAATACTTTCACCTACTACGTCTAGAGTATTTATTCGGATGATATTAGGAAGTCAATGTTCTAAATAAAAAGGACCTGATATCTAGACTTATTTCATTACTTAAATATTACAAAAATTAGCACAAGCCATACTACCAGCAACAAAAGGTTATTTAAGTAAAAAGCCATTTTCTTTTAATTCTTTAAAGTTGGTACATCCCCTTCACTAAGCCTGGAAACATAAGTGTATCTGTTTTAATCTCCCAAACTTTTATTAAAATATGGTAATTACCAAAAAAGGATAACTGTTATTAGTAGGTTAGAAAATACTGCTATCATCAGCTGATGTTTCTTAAATAATGGCACCAAGACTGTGGAAGTTAAAAGGAAAAAAGAAAAGAGACATTTCATAAAATGATAATATATCCTCATATTAACACACAGCATCATGACTAAGATGATAAATTACACCCCAAATGCAAAACTTTGTAAGGAACTATGTCAAACTCATTCAAGCTTACCTTGCTGGTAAGATTAAAACTACTAAGTTAGTTTGTCTGGTTGTTCAAAATTCCCCCCTTCCTACAAAATACTCAATTTACAACCAAAACTGTACTTAATATAAAAACTTGAGCCAAAAGGTGATGGGAGTCAATTCTTTTTTTTTCTTTTTTTTTTTTGAGACGGAGTCTCGCTGTGTCGCCCAGGCTGGAGTGCAGTGGCGCGATCTCGGCTCACTGCAAGCTCCGCCTCCCGGGTTCACGCCATTCTCCCGCCTCAGCCTCCGAGTAGCTGGGACTACAGGCGCCCGCCACCACGCCCGGCTAGTTTTTTGTATTTTTAGTAGAGACGGGGTTTCACCATGTTAGCCAGGATGGTCTCGATCTCCTGACCTCGTGATCCACCCGCCTCGGCCTCCCAAAGTGCTGGGATTACAGGCTTGAGCCACCACGCCCGGCCAATTCTTTTTTTTTGACACAGGATCTCACTCTGTCACCCAGGCTGGAGTGCAGTGGCGCAACGATGGCTCACAGCAGCCTTGAGCTCCTGGGGTTAGGTGATCCTCCCATCTCAGCTTCTCAAGCAGCTGAGACTATAGGTGCGCCACCATGGCTGGCTTTTTTTTTTTTCCTTGTAGAGACAGACACTCACTATGTTGCCCAGGCCGGTTTCAAACTCCCAGGCTCAAGTGATCCTCCTGCCTCGGCCTACCAAAGTGCTGGGATCACAAGCATGAGCCACCACGCCCTGACTCAAACTGTACTTTATATGTAAAACTAAGTCAAAAGGTGATGGGGCTGATTCTGAACAAAGTCAACCTGGAAAACTCCATCTGCCACCCACACCCATTCTAAAGCTCAATGACAGACATCTATCTGAATGTTCTGCAGTAAAACAGTGGCAAAAGCTGCCTGGTTGTTTTTACAACTCTCACCCCTTTCATCTTTAAGATAAAGCTATTCCCTGAACTTGTAAATCTAGTATTTTACTGTACTAGAAAAAGCAATGTGTGACACTAGTCACACTGATGAATAATTCCAGCACAAGACTGTAAAATAACCCAAACTCAAAAGTAAATTCTATTCAGCTTCTAGAAAATATATCCTCAAGTCACTGTTCTATAATAAATGGGGGGTTTCAGCAAAACTGTGTTACCCCATTTTATCCAGAAAACTTAGCTCCATCATTACATTTAAACAAGCTAAACAACTGAGACTGAGAAAGAAGTATTAGGTAGCACAATTTCAATATATACAGTGCTAATACGGCCTGATAACAATACTGTAATCTCAGACCATAACAATGCATCTTCAGTAATGTTCAGTTATGCTGGTCAGGCATGGTGGCTCGCTCCTATAATCCTGTCATTTCGGGAGGCTGAGGCAGGTGGACTCCTTGAGCCCAGGAGTTCAAGACCAGCCTGGGCAACATGGCAGAACCTCATCTCTACAAAAAATATAGAAATTAGTTAGACGTGGTGGCAAGCATCTGTAGTCATAGCTACTCAGGAAGGGGAGACGGGAGGATCAGCCTGGGTGACAGAGTGAGACTTTGTCTCAAAAAAAAATTTTTTTTAAATTAGGTAAATAAAAATTTATACTTCTTTTTGTTGGTTCTTCTGTCTTTGGTGGCAGCACTTTCAGTAAATATTTTAAAAGTTAGGGCTGCTTACACACAGTAGCAATGATACCTTTCAAAATAAACCAGGTCTAAGAGGCATGGTGGCTCATGCCTGTAATACTTTGGGAGGCTAAGGCAAGAGGATCCACTTGAGCCTGTTTTGAGACTGAGGCTGAGGCTGCAGTGAGCCATGGCTGTGCCACTGCACTCCAGCCTGGGCAACAGAGTAAGACCAAATAAAATAAAATAAAATAAAATAAAATAAAATAAAGTAATAAAAAAAAATAAAATAAAATAGGCCTAATAAAAGGAAAGAAATAGGGAAACACTGTTGGACTCAAAAGTTAGTATCTGTTTACTGTCATAATTTTCTTTAGGAAAATCACAAAACAAAAACATACAAAAAAAACTTCCTAAAAAAATTTAGGAAGCTTCTAAAATGTATCTAAGCAAAATAACTCCAATCTATCTTAAAACACAGCAATGGACTTAGCTGTGTATATACTAAAATACAGAATGTTTCTCCTTTTTATGATAGTGTCTCACTCTGTTGCCCAGGCTGGAGTGCAGTGGTGCTATCTTGGCTCACTGCAACCTCTGCCTCCCAAGTTCAAGCAGTTCTCCTGCCTCAGCCTCCCAAGTAGCTGGCATTACGGGGGTGTGCCACTGTACCCTGCTAATTTTTATATTTTTAGTAGAGATGGGGTCTCACCATGGCCAGGCTGGTCTCAAACTCCCGACTTCAGGTGATCCACCCACCTGAGCCTCCCAAAGCACTGGGTAACAGGCGTGAGCCACCACACTGGGCCAGAATACAGAATTTTTTATTATTGTATTAAGAGATGGGTTTGGATATGGTAGCTCACACTTGTAATCCCAGCACTTTGGGAGGCCAAGGCAGGAGGATTGCTTGAGCCCAGGAGTTGGATAGGCCTGGACAATACAGCAAGACCCCATCTCCCCATCTCTGCTAAAAATAAAAAAAATTAGCCAGGTGTAGTCCCAGCTACTCAGGAGGCTGAGATGAAAGGACTGCTTGAGCCCAGGAAGTCAAGGGTACAGTGAACTACAATCATGTCACACTGCACACTGAACTCCAACCTGGGTGACACAGTGAGACGTCGTCTCCCAAAAAAAAAAAAAAAAAAAAAAAGGGAAGATCAAAGGAGGAGGTTAAGAAGACAAATAATGAACACATCTACTACTGGATCATGAGACTGATTAAAAACTGGAAAGGTTCCTACCCCTTCTGAAGCCCACATTTCCCTGGCTTACCCATTAATAACAAGTATTGAAGAGTTCAGCCATTCCAAATACCTGCATCCTCTGCTGATTTTTGAAGGGCTTCTGCTAATTCTTGGTCTGCAATCTCCTCTGGCCGTACATCCTCTCTTCCGGCCCCATATGCCAACCGGGCGCATTCTGGTAGCTCTCCCTCAGGAAGAAAGGTGGTCTGGGAGCCTGTGGTGCCGATCACGAGTACATTTTTCTTCAGGTCAATGGAACACTTAGAAGAAACCAACCGAAGAATAATAGCAGATAAAACACCATGCAGAAACATTATGATCCTTAATTTAAAACTCCAATCACAAATGGCCAGGCACGGTGGCTCATGCCTGTAATCCCAGCACTTTGGGAGGCTGAGGAGGGTGGATCACCTGAGGTCAGGAGTTCCAGACCAGCCTGGCCAACACGGTGAAACCCCGTCTCTACTAAAAATACAAAAATTAGCCAGGCGTGGTGGCACATGCCTGTAACTCCTAGCCACTTGGGAGGCTGAGGCAGAAGAATTGCTTGAACCTGGGAGGCGGAGGTTGCAGTGAGCCAAGATGGCACCAAGCAAGGCAGTCTTCACAGTATTCTTTACTCTATACTAATGCTCACTTCCTTTTTTGTGTATTTTATAACTACTTAATAGACAGTTGTGCACATATATGATTTACATCTATAAAGGTGGAGACTGCAGGTCTATACCATGACTAAAAAAATAAGAAAAGGCAGTGACAAGGTTTTACTGATACATACATTCATTCATTCATTTGTTCTATTTAGAATGCTGTGTGTTATTATCACTATGATGCATCTACTTTTACAGAAATATTTTAAAACAGTGACATAAAAATATTGATCAGCTATATTTTCAATTGTTTTTAACTCGATTTTGTTTTTTGAGTTGTGGTTTTGCTCTGTTACCCAGGCTGAAGTGCAGTGGCACAATCTTGACTCACTGCAGCCTGGTCTCAAGGGATCCTCTTGCCTCAGCCTCACGAGTAGCTAATGTACCACCACACCTAGCTAATTTTTGTATTTTTTGTAGAGACAGGGTCTCACTAAGTCACCCAGACTAGTCTCAAACTCATTCTGGTCTCAAGCAATCCTCCCTCCTTGGCCTCCAAAAATGGGAATTACAGGGTCTACTACCGTACCTGACAGGTTGACTGGATACAAAACCCTACTGTGAAAAATGTGAAGTACCCAGTGGGGTCTATAGCCCTACCACCCTGAACATGCCCGATCTCGTCTTAATTACCCAATGGACTAACTGCTTCTTCAATGGCAGCAGTATATCTTAAAATACTGTGCTTTACAGTAGAAAGATAAATATCAACACAAATTAATATATTAATTATGCACTCTATATTAAATAAACACTTTCATTCGTAACATACACCTTCCTTAACCTTGAAGGTCTTCTTCCCAAGTACTGTTTGATCAGCATCAGAGAATGCTAAAGACTTACTTGACTTACACTTTTAGTCAGGTTATCACAAAACTACTAATCAGGATCTAACCAGAATCTGAAAATTATATAAGGGAACCAAACTGTCCTTTATGATCTCAAAACATTTGGCAAGATTTAACAGATTCACAGAGAAATTTCACAAAAACAGATTCTATCTGTACTGACACATCATTTCAGTCTTTGTGTAACAACATAATTTAAGGACATTTCCAGGTTTGAAAAGTCGTATTTCTTAGTTTTCCAGTATACATAACCAATAAAAATAATGTAATAACCATATTACAAAAAGCAGATGCAAAAAAAAAAAAGATAAGTGAAGCTCTTAATTACCTGATGCCGTTTAAGCATGTCCAGTCCCAGAAGCATGTCCATGGGCTGTTCCTCAAGTATAGAGAAGGAACATGGCAAAAAATCTCCTTCAATCTGAACCTGAGCTAAAAAGCACATGAAGAGAAAAGGTTATTGTTATGTACTTCAAAAGAGAGATGGAGTTTCGCTCTTGTTGCCCAGGCTGGAGTGCAATGGCACGATCCTGGCTCATGGCAACCTCTGTCTCCCGGGTTCAAGTGATTCTCTTGCCTCAGCCTCCCAAGTAGCTGGGATTACAGGCATGCGCCATCACGCCTGGCTAATTTTTGTATTTTTAGTAGAGACAGGGTTTCGTCATGTTGGTCAGGCTGGTCTCAAACTCCCGACCTCAGGTTACCTGCCCACCTCGGCCTCCCAAAGTGCTGGGATTACAGGCATGACCCACCAGGTCCAGCCGAAAAGTTCTTTTCATTATTTTTTTTTGAGACAGAGTCTTGCTCTGCCGCCCAGGCTGCAGTGCAGTGGCATGATGTCGGCTCACTGCAACCTCCGCCTCCTGTGTTCAAGTGATTCTCTGATTCTCTACCTAAACCTCCCAAGTAGACAGGATTACAAATGCGCGCCACCACACCCGGCTAATTTTTGTATTTTTAGTAGAGACAGTGTTCACTGTGTCAGCCAGGCTGGTCTCAAACTCCTGACCTCACGTGATCCACCCACCTTGGCCTCCCAACGTGTTGGGATTACAGGCGTGAGTCACCTCACCCGGCCAAAAACTTTTTGTAGAGATTGAGTCTCGCTATACTGACCAGGCTGGCCTGAATTTCTGGCCTCAGGCAGTCATCCTGCCTTGGCCTCCCAAAGTGCTGGGATTATAGGAGTGAGCCACCACACCCAGCAGATGACCTATTTTTAAAGAATTCCTTCCTTACACAAGATACTGTGTATTTTCTTCTAAAATCTGTAACTTTCCTTTCCACATCTAAGTTTTGAGTTTTTGTGGGTTTTTTTTTTTTTTGAGACAGGGTCTGCTATGTTGCCCATGCTGGTCTCGAACTCCTAGGCTCAAGCAATCCTCCCTCCCCCGCATCTAAGTCTTTACCCTGAATTCGCTTTTGTGTGGTGTGGGTAGGATCCAATTTCTAATTCATTTCTCCCCATGGATACCTCTTGTCCCAGCAACATTTCCTAAAATTGCCCCATTGCTCTGTAAGACTTCCTCTCATTGATCAAGGTTCATATAATCATGGGTTTGTTTCTACTCATATCTTCCAGATAGTCCTTTGACATCTAGAAGGCAATGTAGTTCTGGAGTATTTTGCCCATTCTCACAATATAGAGCCCATGCCGAATTTAAAATGAGCACATCCAGTCTCACAAACAACCAGGATTTTGATGGCATCTCAATGGCTCTGTGGATGAATGTGGGAGAACTGCCACCCCCAACATACTGAATCTTCCAATCCGTGGTAAAGCTTTCCTTTTATTTAGGTTTCTCCTATTGCTATAAGGGTTTTTTCATGCTAATCATAGCCACGGATGTAAAATCCACAAGGATGGCCACAGAGCTTGGTACTTATTTTGTCTCCTCCTATTATCTTCTCACTTAAAGCCATAAAAAATCTGAGAACTCAGCCCCTGAAGGAACCAGTTTATGGTATTCCTGCAAAACTCTCAGTCCTACTGTGTTTAGCGAAGTATGAGAATAAGGTAGTTGAACTATCTTTATCCTACACAAATCAATAAGAGAAACACAAAGACCCTGATAAACAGACACACATATTTCAAAAGAAAGGAAAAGTAAATGTGTAAAAAAACTATCATTTGCAATGAAAGAAAAGTAACTTAGAATAAGCAACCACTCTTTTATTTGTAAAAAAAAAAAAATTTTTTTTGAGAAAAGAATACTGCTCTATTGCCCAGGCTGAAATATACTGGCATGATCTCGGCTCACTGCAATCTCTGCCTCCTGGGTTCAAGTGATCCTCTCACCGCAGCTTCTGGAGTAGCTAGGACTATAGGCGTACGTCACAACAACTGGCTAATTTTTTGTATTTTTAGTAGAGATGTGGTTTCGCTATGTTGCCCAGGCTGGTCTCGAACTCCTGAGCTCAAGCAATCCGCCCACCTTGGCCTCTCAAAGTGCTGGGATTTTAGGCATGAGCCACCACACTCAGCCTTATTTGTAAATTTAAGAGGGAAAACTAATATTGCTTAACAGTACAGGACATTAAGATGCATATTCATTCAGTGGCGGATAAACCGGATTGGTACAGGTTAGCAACATATCAAGAGTCCTAAAGCATCCGGAACTTTGATTCAGTAGTTTCACTTACAGGAATCTTGACTAGGGGAAAAAAAATCAAAATATGCAGAAAACTATACTGCCATGGTATAATAGGAAACATAACTGGCCAAGCGCAGCAGCTCAGGCCTGTAATCCCAGCACTCTGGGAGGCTGAGGCAGGCGAATCACTTTGAGCTCAGGAGTTTGAGACCAGCCTGGGCAACATCGTGAAACCCTGAATCTACTACAAATCCAAAAATTACCCGGGTGTGGTAACAGCTGCCTGTAATCCCAGCAATTTGGGAGGCTGAGGCAGGAGAATCGCTTGAACCTGGGAGGCACAGGCTGCAGTGAGCCAAGATTGCGCCACTGCACTCCAGTGTGGGCAACAGAGCAAGACTGTCTCAAAAAAAAAAAAAAAAAAAAGAAAACAAGAAAACAACCCAAAAGCTGTTCTTTAAACCTGCAACAGAAGGCTATACATTTATTCACTTATTTAAATAATTATTTTGAAATTTATAATGACATTGGGAAAAAGTTTCACTTTTTCTTAGAGCAGAATATAAAATTTTAAAAAAGAAAAAAAAACCTTTTTTTTTTTTTTTTTTTTTTGCGACAGAGTCTCCCTGTCTCCCAGGCTAGAGTGCAGTGGCGCGATCTCGGCTCACTGCAACCTCCGCCTCCCAGGTTCAAGTGATTCTCCTGCCTCAGCCTCCTGAGTAGCTGGGATTACAGGCACCCGCCACCACGCTGGGCTAATTTTTGTATTTTTAGTAGAGACGGCGTTTCACCATGGTCTCGATCTCCTGACCTCGTGATTCGCCCACCTCAGCCTCCCAAAGTGGTGGGATTACAGGTGTGAGCCACTACGCCTGGCCGAAATAATCACCTTTTATAAGATAAAAAAATGCACAGAAAAAAGACCAGAAGGAGATATGCCCAAATGATACCGGTGGTTGAGTCTCACTACAGGAATTTAAGGAATGTTTTTTACCTTCATCTCACATTTCTATACTTTTGAAGTTCTCTATAGCAAGCATCTATTAAACAGATAATGAAACAAGAAAATAAAAAGAATTCTGATTAGAGATGAAGGACTGAACACACGCATTTATCTACATTTACTTCTAAAACATTACAAAAAGGGTTTCTGGGTTGTGTCTAAGGCACATCTTTTTTTTTTTTTTTTTTGAGATGGAGTTTCACTCTTGTTGCCCAGGCTGGAGTGAAATGGAACGATCTCGGCTCACTGCAACCTCCACCTCCCAGGTTCAAGTGATTCTCCTGCCTCAGCCTCCTGAGTAGCTGGGATTACAGGCACCCGCCACCACGCTGGGCTAATTTTTGTATTTTTAGTAGAGACGGGGTTTCACCATGTTGGTCAGGCTGTCTCGAACTCCTGACCTCAGGTGATCCACCCACCTCAGCGTCCCAAAGTGCTGGGATTACAGGCGTGAACCACTGCGCTGAGCACTAAGGCGTAACTTTTTAAGGCCAAATATAATAGTAGAGACCATAGGAACAAAATTTTAGAGCTAAAAAGCAGATGACAGTGAGGAAAACTGAGCAGCAACCCAACTGACATTACAGAACTCCTATGGGGCATAGGAACTGGTCACAAATACCTCTGCAGATAGGAGGAGAGATGGGCCCAAAGCAGCAAGGCTGGCGGGAAGGCTGCAGAGGCAGTTAGCCCTTGGGGTGTCCCTCCTGCACTCTGCTAGGCCAGGAGACCCTTCACCCCAGTAGCAGACTAGAGCCTTATTTTCTGGAGAGGATGAAACAGAGGCACTCTTAACAGAGGTCAGCATGGAGGGAGACAGGGACAGAACAAGTATCTAACTGAAAACCAGGGGAAATAAATAAAATCCAACTGAGATGCCAGCCTTTCTCTTCCTCCCAACTTCTAGACCCATCCTACAGTGAAGGCCACAAGGGCCATGGCTGCCTACCCAGGTCATTTTCCAAACAAGCCTTTTGGTGGCCCACTCCTTTTTTTTTTTTTTTTGAGACAAGGTTTCATTGTCACCCAAGCTGGAGTACGGTAGTATGAACACAGCTCACTGCGGCATCTATCTCCCTGGCTCAAGCAATACTCCTGCCTTAGCCTCTCGAGCAGCTGGGACTATTGGCACTTGCCACCACACCCGGCTATTTAACAAAAATTTTTGTAGAGACGAGTTATCCCTTTGTTGCCCAGGCTGGTCTCAAATTCCTGGCCTCAAGTCATCACCCTACATAAGCCTCCTAAAGCACTGGGATTGTAGGTGTGAGCCATCGCAGCCAGCCAGTGGCCCACTCTTCAATGTGAGCTGATGCCAAGGATCACAAGACATTTATGAAAACCATATAAAGTAAAATACAAACAAATACAAAATGCAACACAAAGGCTGGAAGACAAAGTTGAAGAAATCCCACAGAAAAACAAAAGAGAAGAAAACTAGAGGACAAGACCAGGATAGATTATCCTATGTGAATAACAGACATTCCAGAGGGGAGAAAATCATCGTCAAAATCATTCGGAGAAAGTCCCCAGAACGGAGGGATGTGACCATCTAGACTATACAGGTTACCAAGTACCTAGTACAGTATATGAGAAGAGATCCACACCCAAGCATCCATTGTGGAAATTCAAAACGCTGAGGTCAAAGGGAAGATCTATAAGCTTCAAAAGAGAAAAACAAGGCTGGGCACGGTGGCTCACGCCATAATCCCAGCCCTTCGGGAGGCCTGGTGGGCGGATCGATCACTTGACGACAGGAATTTGAGAGAGATCATCCTGGCCAATATGGCGAGAACAAAAAAATTAGCTAGGTGTGGTGGTGCACGCCTGTGATCCCAGCTACTCAGGGAGGCTGAGTCAGGAGGATCGCTTGAACTCGGGAGGTGGACGTTGCAGTGAGCCGAGATCGCGCCACTGCACTCCAGCCTGGGCAACAGAACAAAGACTGTTTCAAAAAAACAGAAAAGAAAAAGAAAGTTTTCACATAAAGGATCAAGAATCGGAACAGAATCCATCCTCACTACAGCAACACTGACAGTGAAAAGGTTAAGGGGCAATGCCTCAAAATTGTGAAGGAAAATGATTTCCAACCTAGGCAGACGAGTAGAAGGTAGGGAAAAAAGACATGTCTGATACTTAGTCTCAATTTACTGCCACACACCTCTTCTAAGAAAGTTACTGGAAGATGCGCTCCAATAAACTGAGGAGCAGATAAAAAAGAGGAAGACAAGGGATTCAAGTAATCCAACACAAGACAGAGGAGAAAGGAATCTGCAGGACTCAGTCAAGTCAAATTCCAAAACAACAGCTCTGAAGCAGGCCTGAAACTGCCGGTCCAGGCTCAAGAAGTGTCTTTGACAGGATGAAATGTACAGGCTATTGGGTGTGCTTGAATCAATTTAAAGGAGATTTGCATAATTAGAAAATGTCTAGGATGAATACTACGCAAGAAACCAAGTGAGAAAAACAGGACAATTATTAATTCTAAGAGAAAATAATACTAGCCACGAAAGAAAAGCAATCACATTCAATTAGATGGCTCAGCTCTCAAACACAGTCATGTAAGTAAACAGCAAAATAAACATGTTATTTAGAAATATGCAGGTAAGTATCAAAATAAATCAGCTAAAATAATGGAAAGGGATTAGCTTTTCAGGAAATAAGAAACGTAGAAGAGACTAGTTTTTTTGTAACCAGCAGAAACACATAACTTTGACAGAACACAGGATTTAAAACTTCTAGAAATTAGGCTTGCTGGCTCAGACATACCCACACAAAAGAAATCTAAAACAACAACAACAAAATAAGAACAAAAAACCCTCTAAAAACTTGAAAATCTACTACCCTACCTACAAATAGCCTACAGAAAGACAGCAAGCCCCAGTGCCTTTTGCTCACCTAGATGTACCCTTCCAATAATCTTCTGGGTGCCCACTCCTTTGGCAATCCCTGCCCACCGACGATCCACCAGTCTCATTATATTACACCTTTCTGCACAAGCTTGGCTCATAATAGTCATCTGGGCACCTGGAGAAGTAGAGAAACATCAGATAATAAAAACAAATCCACTTTGTGAGAAGACTCAAAATATAGCACTAATTAATAATAAAACAAAAACCAAGTACACCCCAAGGCTTTTCTCTCTACAAAATCATTTCTACCTAGCAAGTGTCCAGGCCTGCCTCATCAACTTTCAGTTCTACTCTGTAATCTGAAACACTATATAAAATTTGACATTGAGCGAAGAATATTTTGTAGCAATGTAATAATTAAATGACATTTTAAAACTTTACCAGTAGAAAGCAATGATGTCCCATGTCTACAGATGGCAATGCTAAATTAGCAGTACTTTGCACTTTTTACCGAGTATCTTTAAGCCGTCGCCTCCTGGCTTCAAACGATTCTCCTGCCTCAGCCTCCTGAGTACCTGGGATTAACAAGCTTGTGCCATCATGTCCAGCTAATTTTTTTTTTTTTTTTTGAGATGGAGTCTCACTCTGTTACCCAGGCTGGAGTGCAGTGGCGCAGTCTCGGCTCACTGCAAGCTCCGCCTCCTGGGTGCACGCCATTCTCCTGCCTCAGCCTCCAGAGTACTGTCCGCTACCACGCCCGGCTAATTTTTTGTATTTTTAGTAGAGATGGGGTTTCACAGTGTTAGCCAGGATGGTCTCGATCTGACCTCATGATCCACCCGCCTCGGCCTCCCAAAGGGCTGAGATTACAGGCATAAGCCACCACGCCCGACACGTCCAGCTAATTTTTGTATTTTTAGTAGAGATGGGGTTTCACCACTCTGACCAGGCTGGTCTGGAACTCCTCACCACAAGTGATCTGCCCACCTCAGCCTCCCAAAGTGTTGGGATTACAGGTGTGAGCCACGGTGTCCGGCCCTATCAAGTTGTTTTTATATCAAACTTTGGGATGGGTGTAGTGGCTCACGCCTGCAATCGTACTTTAGGAGGCCAAGACAGGAGGATCACCTCCAAGGAGTGGGAAACCAGCTTGAGCAACATAGTAATATCCCATCTCACTATGTAAGCAAGTAAGTACATTATTTACCACTTTATCTGCTCAAAAAATAAAATTAAAAACAAAAACCTCACACTGGGACACTATAGTCTACTATTAATAAATCATGCAGTCTCCCAAAATTTAGAAGTGGACTTCCATACTCTGCTCCAACAATTAGACTCTCTTCCCTTTAAATAGGAGGGCACTTAGGCTATTTTCTCTCCCAGAAACACATACTCGGCGGGTCGGCCTATGTAGAAGACAGTCGCTTCTATAATCTTTACTGTCCTAATTTCTCCTTGAAACTGTTTCATACATTTCGGGGTGTATGGCATTTCTTCAAAGCCACAGGCATAAAACTCTTCCCAAATAATTCCCCTTTGGATTTCTCGTGCTCTTTGCTGATTGGGTTTTTTCTCCAGCCATAAAACCTGGTGCATTGTACGTTTTGACTCTTCTTTTGTTCTTCTTTCTGCTCAAAGCCTGTAAATACGTCTATGCAATTTCTGACTGCCTTTTGCTGTCTTTTTTTCTGAGACGGAGTCCGCGCTGCTTCACCAGGCTGAGTGCATGTGGTGCGAGATTCGATCTCGGTCACTGCAAGCTCTGCTTCCTGGGTTCGTTGCCATTTCTGCCGGTCTCCAGCTCCCGAATAGCTGCGGGACTACACGGCGCTGCACCAAGGCTCGGCGTATTTTGTATTTTTGTAGACGAGGTTTCATGTGGTTAGCCAGATGTCTCGCTGCCTGACTCATATCCGCCCGCCCTTCGCGGCCTTCCAAGGCTGGGGTTACAGGCGGTGAGCCCGTGCGCCCAGCCGAGTGTTACTCTTGTGTGCCCAGGCTGGACTGCAATGGTACAAACTTGGTTTCACTGCAAGCTCGACCTCCCACGTCGCGTTCAAGCGTATTCTCTCTGCCTAGCCTTCCCAAGTGCTGGGAATATCACAGGCAAGTGCCACGACGGCCGGCTAATTTTTGTAATTTTTTAGTAGAGACGGGGCTTACTGTGGTTGGCCAGACTCGTCTCAAGTCCGACCTCCAGGCTGATCACCGGCTTTGGCTCCAAGGTTCTGGTGGATACGGCGGGCCACACGCTGGGGCTGATGCTCGTTTTCTCGCTACCATAGTGATCAGCCTGGCTCATGCTGCTTCTCTTGCAGAGGAATTTGTTCTGGCTTCAACCATCCGTGGATGCGTAAAGAAAGGCCAGTTGTTGTGAACCGCATAGGGCGTTCAGACGCATTTCTCCAGATCTGGTAGTCGTACCTTTAGTTTTCCTAAAATCACTTTTTTTTTTTTTTTTGTGGGAAACACAGTATTGCTCTGATTACCCAGGGCTGGAGTGCAGTTCCTAGTGCGGTGTGGAATCTCGAGGCACCAAGTGCGAAACTCTGCTTCCTGGCGTTCAAGCGATGTTCTGCCTTGCGCTCCGAGCGCTCTAAGCAGTACGGACTTACAGGCGTGCACCTCACTGCCCTGGCGATGTTTGCTCCTTTTTAGTAGAGATGGGGTTTCACCATGTTGGCCAGGCTGGTCTTGAACTCCTGACCTCAAGTGATCTACCCGCCTCCCAAAGTGCTGGGATTACAGGTTTGAGCCACTGCACTGGGCCAACAGTACCATTTTCAAATCACTTACTTCTTCATCTGCTTAGAAGTCCTCAATGGTTTCCACTCCTTATGAGATTAGTTTCAAACTACCATCACTACAGCTTCAGATCCCACCCCATCCTGGCTCCACTTTTTCTTTCTGGCCTTACATTCTAACTACTCTAAACCCTCTGCTTCAGCAGGAGGAATATGAATGTCGCCTTTGCCATTCACTCACTGTGACCCTCCGGTAAAATACTCCCTCTCTCCTGCTTTTTTTTCTGAATTCCACCGATGCTTCAAGATCCAGCTCAAGACCCACTTCCTCCTCAACTGACTGCCCTTTTGCAATGATTTTGCCTCTCACTCAATTCCAACACTTCTGCTCATATTACTCACAGGTACCCTACACTTTATAAGAAATAAAAGTTCTTGGTATTTGAGAAAGGTTAGATTTTAAAAGGCCCAGAAATAATGAAGGAAAAGGGAATTTGGAAAGGCAGCTCTCTCTTTTTCTTCCTCCTTTTTAACTTTAATCTACAAAAGCAAGTTATTAAAGTAAGCAACCCAGGGTGAGAAGGGCCCCTTTCACTGCTCTCCTGCATTTTCCAAAGCCTCAGCTCAAACGCTGTCTTTTGGAAAGACTCTCCTGAGCGCCTCGGTCAGAGTGAGAAAGTGGTCTCTATAGCCATCCAACATTCACCTGATTTTTGCACAGTGGTTGAGATTTCTGGCATCAAGGGGACCTGGGGCTGAATCCAAAGCCCACCACTCACGAACTCTGTATACCTGGAAGCGTGACTTGATCTTCTCTATATCTAAGTTTCCTTATGGATAAGATAGGAACTATAGTAGAACAAAGTACATAGAGCTGTTCTGAGGATGAAATAAAATTGAGTAAGATGATTACACTGAGCACCTAGCATGGTGCTTGGCACACAATAAGGAATCAACACACACTGAGTATTCTATTAGCATCTCCTATGTATTTGTCTTTCACTCACACAGGGGCCCTCTGAGGCTCCAGCCACTAAGTCTTATCACGAAGCACTCAGCACAAGGCCCTACACACAACAGACATTTTTAAAACGGAATAATCAGTAAATTTACTTCTCCCAGGAATGTATCTCAAGATACAAACTTCTTTTTTTTTTTTTTTTTTCCCCCCTGAAGGCTGGGTCTCACTTACCCAGGCTGGGGCACAGTGGCACGATCACAGCTCACTGCAGCCCTGAACTCTGCAGTCACCACAGGCTCCAACATTCACCTGAAGTAGCTGGGACTACAGGTATGCACCACCACACCCGGCTAATTTTTGTATTTTTTGTAAAGGCGAGGTTTCCCCATGTTGCCCAGGCTGGTCTCAAAACTCCTGGGCTCAAGCAATTCACGCATCTCACCCTCCCAAAATGCAGGAATTACAGGTATAAGCCACTACACCCAGTCTCAAGGTACAAACTCTTAATGAGAGTTGAGGTCAGGAGCTCCTGATCAGCCTGCACAATTCAGGGGAACTCTCTCTACAAAAAGTTAAAAAAATCAGCCAGGTATGGTTGCACATGTCTGTAGTTCCAGCTACTTGGGAGGCTGAGGCTGGAGGATCACTTGAGCCCAGGAGTTGGAGGCTGAAGTGAGCTGATCGCACCACTGTACTCTAGCCTGGGTGACACAGACTCTCTCTTTAAAAAAAGAGAGAGAAAAAGCTGAAACCCAGCATGTGCTCAGGAATGCGTAGATGAACAAATGAAAGAAAATACTTTTTTTCTTTTTACATAGAAATACATAGCCAAGGAGGAAAATATTATTTGAGCAGGGGATTTTTCTACTCTAGGAACTCACTTTTCTTACAGTCTTAAGTGAGACACCCAGAATTAAGATGTATGAGACCAGTCATACACCCACAAAATGCTGCATGGTGTAGTCTTACTAAAAAACAAACAGTTGTTACTGACAGAAAAGGTGCCAACTAGTATGTAAATTACCTGGACCCTCAAGCAGAAGAATCCCTGTCTCCTTACCTGGTTGTTAAGTTCTTTAAGGGTAAGAACCACACCCAGATACCCTTACACTCCTCCCAAATCTTGGCAAAGTGTTGGTGCACAGGCTAGGCTGAAATGTGTTTGATTATACCCTACACAGCTCCTTTTATAGCTCCTTCTTCTAAACCTACGTATTCCCAATTTTTTACAGAAATATCCAAGAAATTCAGGATGCTAGACAAGGGGAGCTAGGAAGATAAAGAAGACATCACAAAATACAAAACTGGTTAAGAAATGATTAAAGAAAGAAACCTAATACCAACAGAATGCCTGGCAAGTGAAACAGTAAGTCCCAGGCTGGTGAGTTAGCAGCCTAAAGAACTACAGCCATCTGGGCAGGGCGTGGTGGATCACCTGAGGTCAGGAGTTCAAGACCAGGCTGACCAACATGGTGAAACCTCATCTCTACCAAAAATATAAAAATTAGCCGGGTGTTGTGGTAGGCGCCTGTAATCCCAGCTACTCGGGAGGCTGAGGCTGCAGAATTCGCTTGAACCCAGGAGACAGAGGTTGCAGTGAGCCAAGATCGCGCCACTGCACTTCAGCCTGGGTGACAGAGCAAGACTCCATCTCAAAAAAAAAAAAAAAAAAACTACAGCCATCTGAACAGATGCTTGAGCCTCCCCTTCTCCCATGTCAGGTAAGGATGTTGGAGGGGAGACCAAGAAATAAAAGACAGAGACGTCACCTGAGTCAACAAAGGCTTTCACAGGATGTCCATTCACTTTGCAGTTAATATAAAGCATCACTACTTGGCCAAAACTTTCCGGAGCCTCTTCCATAGCTATTGTCATGTTTTCCTCAATGTTCTGTTGCCTGTAACAGAACAAGACCAGGGACACTGAAAACATTAATTCCATGGAGAGAAATCAGTTTCAAAGTCACAATATTAAAAAACAGATTTGTACATATCTTTTGCCCCAAGCACAGCAGCCGAGTCATAGAAAAACTGGTGCTATATGGGGCAAGAGATCATTTCCTAGGAGGCAGTAAGATAAACAGCTGGCAGAAAATCTAAAGGCATAAAAATTACCCTATGTAAAACACTGAGCTGCCTTTATATATTCAGAAATAAGAAACTGGAGAGCAAGGGTCACAACCCCATTTTTCTGGCAGAATGTTAGAACTTTGGGAATGTTCCAATTTTAACTGAGGATTTATTGGGTATCTGAATACATTTCCTAAGCCCAGAACATTACAAAAAGTTCACAAACAGAAAACACAAATATTTCAACTTCTTGTGCTGCTTTATCTGCAGGACTGGGTTTTCTAATCTGTATAGAGGATAATTGTTACCTACGTTGCTGAGAGGTACAAAGCATCTAGTATACACTGCTCATATAACAGCTTATGCTACAAAAAAACTGCATCCATCGCTTAAAACTACATGTGTTTCATAGTTCATTTGATCCATGAAACGATATGTTTAAAAATTCAACATGCTGGCTAGGCACAGTGGCTCACGCCTATAATCCCAACACTTTGGGAGGCCAAGACGGGTGGATCACCTGAGGTCAGGAGTTCAATACCAGCCTGGCTTACATGGTGAAACCCCATCTCTACTAAATATACAAAAATTAGTTGGGCGTGGTGGCAGGCGCCTGTAATCCCAGCAACTCAGGAAGCTGAGGCAGTAGAACCACTTGAACCTGGGAGGCGGAGGTTGCAGTGAGCCGAGATTGCGCCACTACACTCCAGCCTGGGTGACAGAGTGAGACACCATCTCAAAAAAAAAAAAAAAAAAAATCAACATGCCAGGTGCAGTGGCTCACACCTGTAGTTCCAGCACTTTGGAAGGCCAAAGTAGGTGGATCCCTTGAGCTCAGGAGTTTGAGCTCGAGTTTCAGACCAGCCTGGGCAACACAGTGAAACCCCATCTTTCCCCACCAAAAGGAAAAAAAAAAACAAAAAAATCAACACAACTCTAATTCTTACATGAGAAAAACAACAAAAGGGAGTTATTGCTTACTCCAACATCTCATGTTTATTCCCAATTTTTTTCTACTCCCTTAAAACAGCATGAATCAATCTCCTTTTAAAAACATTATCAAATACTACCAACATTAATGGAAACTAGGTTAGAGGCTGGGCAACTTACCTGAAGACTGAGACACTAACAGAACAGGTTCTAAGATTCGGGATAAACTACACTGTAAATTCAGGGTTGGTAAATCATAGTCTGCTGTTTAGGCAAAAAAAGTTTTATGGAAACACAGTAGTATCATGCATTTACATACTGTCCTATTATCTATGGCTGCTTTCACATGGCAGTGGTGGAGTTGAACATGAGCAACACAGATTGTATGGTCTGGTCTGCAAAGACTAAAATACTTACTATCTGCCCATTTGTAGAAAGTCCACTAAAGCCAGGCACAGCAGCTTATGCCTATAATCCCAACACTTTGGGAGGCCAAGGCAGGAGGATCACTCGAGGCCAGGAGTTTGACACCAGCCTGGGCAACACAGTGAGACCCTATCACTAAAATTAGCTGGGCGTGGTAGCACAAGCCTGTAGTCCCAGCTATTCAGGAGACTGGGGCAAGAGATTGCTTGGGCCTGGGAGGCTGAGGCTGCACTGAGCTATGATGGTACCACTGCATTCCAGCCTAGACGACAGAACAAGACACGGCCCCCCCTTTTTTTTTTTTTGCCCTGTTTTATGGTGCTGACCCTGTCTCTTAAACAAACAAACAAAAAATAAACCTCAGGCCAAGCATTATAGGTGGCTCACACCTAAAATCCAAGCACTCTGGGAGTTGGACAGATCACTCGAGCCCAGGACTTTAAGACATGACTGGGCAACATGGTGAAACCTCGTCTCTACAAAATACAAGAAAAATTAGCCAGATGTGGTGGTGTGCCTATAGACCCAGCTACTCGGGAGTTTGATGGGGGAAGATCACCTGAGCCCGAGAAGTTGAGGCTACGAGCCATGATCGTACCACTGCACTCCAGTCTAGACGTCAGAGGCCCAAATAAACAAAACTCTGCTGACTCTGGCTCTAACTATAGTTTCTGCCCTTTTCATAATAATCATCGAGCTCAAGTGAACTGATAGCTTTATCAGCCATTTTGCAACAAAATTTAAACTCAGAAAGTCAAAGGCACCTTCCTTTAGGCAAATATGAAAGCTATCGAACCTCGGTGTTCACATACCCTGTGTAATCACTAGTGTAACAAGCCAAATGAAACTTTAACAGATATTTGATATAATTACACAGGTTTTATGCTATTGCACATTATTAAACATAGAAATAACCTAAAATTAATTGTATACTTCATCTTGCATGGACTCCAACCCAAATGAGTTTCAACAAAAAATCCTCTGCAATAGCACCAGCTACTTTGGCTTTTCTGGGGTCCATATGTAGAGAGTCTCTTCAGAGGTACAAGGTTTTCACCTTTCAAAGAGTAAATGTGGTCAGGTACAATGGCTTACACCTGTAATCCCAGCACATTGGCAGGATGAGGAGGGCGAATCACCTGAGGTCAGGAGTTCGAGACCAGCCTGGCCATGATGGTGAAACCCCGTCTTTACTAAAAATACCAAAATAGCCTGGCGTGGTGGTGCATGCCTGTAATCCCACCTACTCAGAAGGCTGAGGCAGGAGAATCGCTTGAACCTGGGAGAAGGAGGTTGCAATGAGCTGAAATTGTGCCACTGCACTCAGGCCTGGGCGACAGAACAAGACTCCATCTTGAGCAGGGGGTGGGGAAGAGAACAGATGTGTTACCCCATTTCCTTCACTCAAGCCCTAGAAAGAAACATGAGCCATATGGACACTATCTATTTCATTTCTCTTATTTATTTTTTTGAGACGAAGTTTCATAATGACTTAGGGCTGTCAATTAATTCTAGCGTACAATTATATTTCTTTTTTTTTTCCCCTAAGATGGGGGTCTCACTCTCTTGCCCAGGTTGGAATGCAATCATAGCTTACTGCAGCCTCCAACTCCTGGGCTTGAGGCATCTTCCTGCCTCAGCCTCCTGAGTAGCTAGGACAGAAGGTGCATGCCACCACACCTGGCTAATTTATTTTATTTTTTGTAAAGACAGAGTCTCACTTTGCTGCCCAGGCTGGTCTCAAACTCCTCGCTTCGAGCAAAGTGTTGGGATTATAGGCATGAGCCACCATGACTAGCCTGTATTTCTGATTTCAAATGTAGTAAGAAGAGTATGAGGCAGGGCATGGTGCTCACACTTGTAATCCCAGCACTCTGAGAGGCTGAGGTGGGAGATCAATTGAGGTCAGGAGTTTGAGACTAGCCTGGCCAACATGGCAAAACCTTGCCTCAAAAAAAAAAAAAAAAAAAAAAGAAAAGAAAAATGAAAAAGAAGAAGAAGGAAGGGCTAAGTGCTGTGGCTCATGTCTATAATCCCAGCACTTTGGGAGGCTGAGGCGCGTGGATTGCGTGAGCTCAAGAGTTCAAGACCAGCCTGGGCAAGATGGTGAAAACCTGTCTCTTCAAAAAATGAAAAAATTAGCTGGGCATGGTGGCGGATGCCTGTATTCCCAGCTATTTGGGAGGCCAAGGTAAGAGGAACACCTCAGTCTGGGGGAGGTCCAGGCTGCAATAAGCTAGTTATTGTGCCAATGTACTCCAGCCTGGGTGACAGAGTGAGACCTTGTCTCAAAAAAAAAAAAAAAAAAAAAAAAAAAAGAAAAAAGATAAAAAGAATGAGAAGTTTAAAAAAGCATGATTTGATTTCTAAGTTGATAGTGTAATACAATGACCAAGTTAGGCTTCATTTAAGTAACCGAAATGACGACACAGTCCCTAAAAGGCTAAGTAGTCTAAGTGTAAGTATCATTGCTGTTATCCTCTTCTTAGTTATACTTTTTCACAATTAGCAAACAAAAACTGACTTGAGGCGGGAAAAGCAGCTGTCCTTTTTTTCAGAGAATGACTGAACAGAATCTTGCTTGTGACTATCAGTGTGACTGAGGCCGGAACGGCGTCACTGTCCTTGCCTGAGCTCCATGCCCAACAATTCTGATTCATCAGATTTGGGAGAAGAGCCCAAGCATCTGCATTTTTAAAAGCTTCTCATATGATTTTACTATAGCCCCAGGTGAGAACCACTGCATTACAGAAACTGAGGGCTGGAAACATGTCCAATATTCAGTTTATCCACTGAGGCCAGTACAAGAAATGCAGCAGGAAAACAGACTTAGGACTACCAATGTTCCATCAGCTCAGAGCCCTCTCTAATCCAATCATGTTTAAGCCCTGGATTTAGTCAGGACTTACACAATATGTCTAAAGAAAGAGGGTCAAATCAGCCCATGTAATATGCAACCAGCCTTGCGGTCTCACCAGAGGGTGGCTTCTGCTCAGTCTGGGGGTCATTTATCTAGAACTGTGTTATGATGCTCTGTCTGCTAGTCAGGGAGTCTTCCTTAAAATTTTAGAACAGAAAGTCATTAAACTCAGTACCTATATCTTTGTCATGTCGAATCGAAATGCGTAGAAAATGAAAGAGGAGAGACTAAACTAAAAGACTGAGGTTACTATCTCAACTGCAAAACAGAGAAGCTGCCTCCAAGCAGATGCCCAGCTAATGTTAGATACCCTGCAGTTTGGGAAATCTGGAGTCTCTGAGTCTTGTTCTTTAGATGAACAGGTCATTCATTACCTGATATCTTCTTCTATCTTTGCCTGAGCTTCAAGGTCAAAGGGATCAGCAGAAAACAGACGAATCCTTTCTTGCTCTCTCCGGGCTCGGTCCTGCTGCTGCTCCACCAGGACTCTAGAGAATTTCTCTACAAATATAAGGGAGAAAAATCTTAAATACCGCTGTATTTTCAACCTTTATCAATACTTTCCCACACCAAACAATTTCTCAAACTACAACTGTAAGATGCAGAGAGGACGCCTAAAGCTTATTTGAAATGAGCAATTACATTTACTTTCTATTCTCCGAGTCAAGGCTATTTCGTCATTTAAATTCAGCATAAAGAAAGTATTTGTGGCTGGGTGTGGTAGCTCACACCTGTAATCTCGACACTTTGGGAGGCTGAGGTGGGAGGACCATTTGAGCCTAGGAGTTCGAGACCAGCCTGGGCAACATAGCAAGACCTTGTCTCTACAAAAAATACAAAAATTAGCCGAGCATGGTGGTGCATGCCTGTAGTCCCAGCTACTGTTGGGTGGGGGTTCAAGTGTGGGGGGATGGCTTGAGTCCAGGAGGTCAAGGCTGCAGTGAGCTGTGATGGCACCACACACTCCAGCCTGGGTGACATGGTGAGACCCTGTCTTAAAAAAAAAAAAGTATTTGCAAAAATCTTTTATAAGAAGTTATCTATCATATTGTTTCTACTCAGAGGTAACAACTTTCCAATTTAAAACGGTGGGGAGTGATCATGTGGCAGATGAATGTCTCCACTCCTCCCCTCCCCGTTGCTCCCCATTGTCCTCATTGTCCTATTACCTAGAAACAAAATACAGCATTATATAATCTCCTTTTCCTCTTCTAGTTTCATTTCCTTTATAATATGCCCTGCCTTAAGCCAGATAAATTAAGTATAAACTATTGTTAGTCTACCTATATTTTGTGTGTGTTCTGATGAAATAATAGGCAGGAAAATTAAAGAAAACACTGCTTGCTACAAGATATACATTACAACAAGAATCTATTCTGCAATTTGTCTTTTTTTTTGAGATGGAGTTTCACTCTTGTTGCCCAGGCCGGAGTGCAATGGCGCAATCTCGGCTCACTACAACCTTCACCTCCCGAGTTCAAGTGATTCTCCTGCCTCAGCCTCCCAAGTAGCTGGGATTACAGGCGCCTGCCACCACGTCCAGCTAATTTTTTGTATTTTTAGTAGAGATGGGGTTTCACAATGTTGGCCAGGCTGGTGCTGAACTCCTGACCTCAGGTGATCCACCGTGCCTGGCCTATTTTGCAATGTCTTAAATGGTGGTACGTTTAAGTGTGCAAACTTAAATGCCTCATCATCACGGTCTTTGGTGATTAGACATACTGACATAAGAAATTAAAAGATATTGTGACAAGGTTTATCTGAACTACTAATGCACACAATACAGATGGATCTAAAAAGCATTAAGTTGAGTGAAAGTACTTTGGGAGGCCCAGACAGGTGGATCACGACGTTAGGAGTTTGGGACCAGTCTGGCCAACATGTATTATCTACTAATAATACAACAATTAGCTGGGTGTGGTAGTGTACGCCTGTAGTCCCAGGTACTTGGGAGGCTGAGGTGGGAGAATTGCTTGAACCTGGGAGGTGAAGGTTGCAGTGAGCAGAGATCGCACCACTGCACTACAGCCTGGGAGACAGAGTGAGACTCCCTCTCAAAAAAAAAAAAAAAAAAAAAAGCCTAACACGAAAGAGCAGACACTCTATTATTCCATATACATGAAGAAAGGCGAAACTAAACTGTAAGATTATCAAAACAGTAGTAACCTATAAGGAGAGGAAACTGACTAGCGTGGAACTTTCCGGAGTGAGAGAAATGTCCTGTGTCTTGATTGGGCTTATAGGAGTTTGTCAAAACTCAAGGAATTGTATATTTAAAATCTATGTACTTCGCTGTAAGGTAAAGATGGCCAATTTAAAGACAGTCAATTGAGGAATGAGTCATTAACTGTCTGTTATGTTTTTAGACTTAACCCAATTTAACTCATAAATCCAAGAGTAAAATGAGAGCAATTTACAGAGAAAACTCGATTCATAAAGATGGCTAAAAGTTGGCTGAGTGCGACAGCTCATGTCTGTAATCCCAGCACTCTGGGAGGCCAAGACAGGCAGGCTGCTTGAGCCCAAGAATTTGAAACCAGCCTGGACAACATGGCAAAACTCCATCTCTACAAAAAATAACTTGCAGTACACTGAGGTTAAGGTGATTTCATTTTGCCATACAGGGCACTGAACCTGTTTCCTGTAACTAAAAAAAATGCCAGCTGGCATCAGCTGGCATGTTGGTGCTCTTTAATTGAAGATCTAACAGGTTAAAATATCAGTACCGGGCGGGCACGGTGGCTCACGCCTGTAATCTCAGCACTTTGAGAGGCTGAGGCAGGCGGATCACGAGGTCAGGAGATCGAGACCATCCTGGCTAACACGGTGAAACCCCATCTCTACTAAAAACAAAAAATCGGCCCAGGCGTGGCGGCAGGCACCTGTAGTTCCAGCTACTCAGGAGGCTGAGGCGGGAGAATGGTGTGAACCTGGGAGGCAGATCTGGCAGTGAGCCAAGACTGCGCCACTGCACTCCAGCCTGGGTAACACAGCGAGACTCCAACTCAAAAAAAAATAAAAAATAAAAAAAAATCAGTACCTAGGTTATGCGCTGCCAAAACAATGAGGAAAACAAAAAGTAAACCGAGGGGGGTGGCCTAGATGGATTTCACTCCGAAAACTCTATTGCTGATTCCAATTAACTCAGCCTTTGACTTTAGCACTAATCTACCTCTCACAGAGAAAAAACTGGTATGTTCAATAAATCATTTGACACAGTGTTGCTTGAGTCTCTTCACATTTGCTATGACACAGCTTCTTCACCTCAGGCCAGCCTAACAGCCTTCCAAATTTATAAGCTTACCAAGGTCTCCACTGAGCAGAGCTTCTGCCAGGGGTGGATTGCGTTCCTTCAGCAAGGACAGCTCATGCGGGTTGGCCAGCAACATACCTCGGAGCAAGGCTGGATTGTCCAAGCCCTGAGGAGATGAAGTTATTTCTCCAGGAGATGAGTGGGACTGCTGTGTTCCTGGTGGCTGGCGCTGCCGGGGACTTGATGTGCCAGGCACAGCTATACTACTGAAATCTATTCGGGGTAAGTCTGTTGGGGAAAATCAATTCAGTTTACTCAAATTACTCTACAAAAACAAGCACTTGAAGGAAACAGCAGAACACTTGCTCATACATGGTACATGACAACAGCAAAGGTAACTGTAGACTTTACCCTTGTTCTTTCTCATGCTGACTCTGAATATAAAGACTGCAGGCTGAGAGTGAATCAATAGGAAAGAAGAAAAATAGGGGGAAGGTGACAGTAGTAACCCCAAATTTTTAGCTTATAAAATATCTCACAACAGACATCAGATTTTTAATTTATGTTTTTAAATAATTAAAGCCGCCGGGTGCGGTGGCTCACACCTGTAATCCCAGCACTTTGGGAGGCCAAGGCAGCTGGATCACCTGAGGTCAGAAGTTCCAGACCAGCCTGGTCAACATGGTGAAACCTCATCTCTACTAAATATACAAAAATTAGCTGGGGGTGGTGGCAGTCGTCTGTAATCCCAGCTACTTGGGAGGCTGAGGCAGGAGAATCGTTTCAACCCAGGAGGCGGAGGTTGCAGTGAGCCAAGATCGTGTCATTGCACTCCAGCCCAGGCGACAAGAATGAAACTTTGCCGGGCGCGGTGGCTCAAGCCCGTAATCCCAGCACTTTGGGAGGCCCAGACGGGCGGATCACGAGGTCAGGAGACCGAGACCATCCTGGCTAACACGGTGAAACCCCGTCTGTACTAAAAAATACAAAAAACTAGCCAGGCGAGGTGGCGGGCGCCTGTAGTCCCAGCTACTCGGGAGGCTGAGGCAGGAGAATGGCGTAAACCCGGGAGGCGGAGCTTGCAGTGAGCTGAGATCCGGCCACTGCACTCCAGCCTGGGCGATAGAGTGAGACTCCATCTCAAAAAAAAAAAAAAAAAAAAAAAAAAAAAAAAAAAAATTTTTTTAAAAAAAAAAAAAAAAATTAAAGCTAGTTTCAATAAATATAATTGCATAAGTCTGGATGTTGTTCTTGAGAAAAATCCTACTCTGGTCTGACATATGGTTCAAACAGCCTTGGCGCTTGGATTAAAGAACTTTTTGTTTTTGTTTTTTTTTTTGAGACAGAGTCTTGCCTTGTTGCCCAGGCTGTAGTGCAACGGCGCGATCTTGCCTCACTGCAACCTCTGCCTCCTGGGTTCAAGTGATTCTTCTGCCTCAGCCTCCTGAGTAACTGCGATTACAGGCGTCTGCCACTAAGCCCACCTAATTTTTTGTATTTTTAGTAGAGATGGGATTTCACCATGTTGGCCAGGCTGGTCTCGAACTCCTGACCTCAGGTGAGCCACCCACCTCAGGCTCCCAAAGTGCTGGGATTATAAGAGTGAGCCACCCTGCCCAGCCGGATCAAAGGATATTATATATATCAAGTGAGCAGCATAAATATTAGATGCTAAATTCTGCAAGTCAGTGCTAAATGTATTGGCTCAGGGAAGTTCTTAATAGTTCTCTGAATTTATACTTTCATCTGTGCATCTCTGCTAACTCTTCTCATGCCCCTGGGGGGCTAAACAGTGTCATCATTTTATAGAAAAGAAGAAAAGGGACTTGCATAGGTTCTCAGTGCTGATTACACCAAAAACTACTATATTTTAGAAGCCAGAACTCCCAGGTTCTATATGCCAGGCTCGGCTGACCTTACTAAACTGAAAGGAAAATAAAAGGGAATTTTAATTCTTACACAAAGGACTCACACATTGTATGACCCCATTTATATGAAATGTCCCAAATAGGTCAATACATAGAGACAGAAAGTAGACCTGTAGCTGTCTAGGCTGCGGAGCCTAGGGGGAAATGGGAGATGACTATAAATGGGTATAGGATTTATTTTTAAAGTAATGGAAATATGCTAAAATGGATTGTGGTGACGGTTACACAACTCATGAACACAGTAAACAAAAATTAAATGCATGAATTGTATCTCAATAAAACTGTTATTTAAAAAAGAAAAATGAAAAAGAAAAGTAAACAAGGAGAGCCAGAATGAGGGGCTAGGCCTGAGTCAATGAACATTCCTTCAACTCCAAAAAATATATTTGATGGTCAAACTTGTCTGAACAATGAGTACTGTTCTTAGAGATAATTGTGTTTAATGTTATAAATGACAGTACACTAAGCAATTCCACAGTGATCAGAATTATAGCACAATCCTTCCACTATTAAGGATTTTATATAAACTAAAAAACCAAAAAACAAACAAACTTGTCTCAAGTCTGGGACTATCCTGAAGCCTTTCTGGACCTCAGATAGAAAAAGAGAAAGCTTAAACTCATGATGTAACATTTCTACCCTTTAGCAGGGGTTCAATTAGCCACTTTCTTCAACTCCCAACCAAGGAAAAGGTGAAGTTAACAGGATGATCTCTGTGAGGTAGCTAATCTATACCAGCCAGGAAAAAACATATATGGGTGGGCCCTCTTTGCAGGTCAAGACATTTTATCTCCACCCGTTATACATTATCTTGAGAGTCCATTCACTTCAGAGTAATTCTCAAAAACATGTTTACTTAATAGACCAGATCACTCCCGCCCCAACCCGTTGGCTCTCTTGTCCATATGCAACAATACGGGGGGTGGTGGGGGAAGAAGTAAATTCCAGAATTAACAATCTCATCAAATTAACCAAAGGAAGATGTGGTTTTTACTGATTGTCACAGTTGTTTAAATATGTTTAACTTCTTTAGAAAGAAGTTTTAACTTCTTTCTAAAGTTTAACTGTGGCCCCAAGGGACTAATGTCTTCCAGATCTGGTGGAGCCAGTCCTTGATGGTCTCAGTAAGCTCCAGTTTCAGGCTGAATGGAAACACTGTGGTTAAAGCTGCAGTCAGTCTGTCATCACCCAGACTCTGCCAGCATCTGTCACCATAAACGTTAAAACTGGTGACCTACGGGCTAAACACTATTTAAGAAAATCTATCTGAATATGGCAGGGAATGGAAAAAAACCACACATTTCACCAAGCTGTTTCACATTAAGACCTTATAAAACACTTTGTGGATCCATAAGCCACTTCAAGTATCTGAACAAAGGTATGACCCTCTGTTTATCCAGTATACACACACGTTCACATCCACACAATTCTGCATATTATTTTAGTGACATAGAACCTACTAAATCCCAGTGCACAGATTTCAGACCATAAACATCTATTATAAAAGGAGCATCAAAGATAGATAAATGTTTCTTTGTATGTGATTAACACAGTTGGTAGGAAAGAACCACAACTTGGTGGTCAAGCTGTTTAATGTTTATCAAGTTCAGCATAATGGAAAAAAATCACATTTTAATTCCTGTGCCCTCACTTAATAGTCATGTAACTTTAAAGACATCATTTAAAATCTGGCTTCATAATTATAAATTATTATGCAAATTATGTAAATCCTCACACAATCAAGTTATGAGATCATGTGAAATGCAGCTCCAAGTGCCTGGCCGGCTATAAAATGCTCCAGAAAGGCTTGGCCACTGAAGGACAGACACAAAATAGCAAAATCATAGGCTTACGCATTCTTTCAAGTCCTTCCCAAGGATAAAGATTATTGTGTAATTATCACTGATAACAGAAGCTAATATTTATTGAGGGCTTGCTATGTGCTGAAGATTTTACATGCATTAGCCTCACGTCAGCTTTAGGAGTTGGGGTTAATTATGGCACCTATCTTATAGAAGAGGAAACCAATTTAGAGACGTTAAAATGCTTGTTCAAGGTTACACAGCAGGGAAAAGGCAGAGTCAGGATCTGTATTCTGCAGTCTGAATCCAAAGCAAATCCAAAACTCTGAGGCGCTACGCTCTGCTACCTGCTGATGGCTGTGCTGGGGGATGCTCAACCACCAGATGTCTTACTTGGGAACTGCACTGGAGGTCGAGGGTCTGCATTCTCCTTCTGTCGTAAAATCACAACGTCCCCATCTTTCAAGCCATAAGAAGCCAATGATCTGTGGTTGTCTGTGAGAGGTCTTTCAGCATAGACGATCTACAACAAGAAAAGATACACAACAGTATAATGCACTGAGAAGTAACAGAGCACAAAGCAGAAGGACCAGTTTTCCTCTGAATCAGATGTCACACTTCGTTCAAACCCTCCAGTGGATTCCCACCACATCCAGAACAAAATCCACAGTCCTTCCCGTCACCGATCAGGACCAAACAATTTGGCCCCTGGCTCTCCTTCTGACTTCGTCTTTCACTATGACTGCTGTTCCTCAAATAACAGGGATCAACTTCCCCTTCAGGGCTGTTTCTCTTGTTTTCTCTACCTGAGGAATGTTCTTTTTCAACTCCTTTTTTTCCTTTTACGTCTCTGATCAAACATTACTCTTTAGAGTTCTTCCCTAATATGTTATTTAAAATATACTCTCGACTAACACAATATATATTTACTTATTTATTGTCCTTCTGCCCCATTAAATGTAAACTACTTGAGGACAAGGACTTTGTTTCATTCACCAGATCATAAATGCTTAGAACAGGGCCTGTTATATAACTGATGCTCAAATATTTGATGAACTAAAGAATGAATTTACGAAAATGGATATAATTTTAGATTTAATTTTTAGCAGGGAGGAAAAGGGAATGATTTATTCTGGGTATGCTAACTAACTACAGTACTACTAAATAAAGTGTACACTTTGAAATAATCTTATACACTGGCAAAAGGTTCCCAAACATCATCCTTCCTGCACTGCATTCTTCCTTCTCTTCTACCATTCCCAAAGTTGTATCACTCTGGGCTGGGCACGGTGGCTCACGCCTGTAATCCTAGCACTTTGGGAGGCCAAGGCAGGTGGATCACGAGGTCAGGGATTCGAGACCAGCCTGGCCAACATGGTGAAACTCTGTCTCTACTAAAAATACACAAACTAGCCAGGTGTGGTGGCACGCACCTGTAATCCCAGCTACTCCAGAGGCTGAGACAGGAGAATTGCTTAAACCCGGGAGGCAAAGGTTGCAGTGCTGAGATCGCACCACTGCACTCTAGTCTGGGCAAGCAAGACTCCGTCTTGGTGGCGGGGCGGGGCGGGGGGCAAGACTGGAAAATAAAGTGAAACTAAGAAAATAACAACTAAATACAAGTGGAAAAAAAGAATTAGGAATGTACTACTAATAAAAATATTTTATGATGTGTAATCATACTGAAGAAAACCTGAGAGCACAAACAGATGAAATAACGTACTATAGATAGAAAGAACAAAGGTACCCTATAATTTTATTACGAAAAAACATAAAATCTGCCCTGCATTATTACATACTCCAGAAAGGCATTCAGAATAAACTCAGGCTTTGAAAGGTTTTCCTCCTAATGATTCACTTTTCACTAGGCCACATGCAAACTGAGGAACCTGAGTTCTACTCTGGCTCTGCCAGTAACTCCATACAAGGGGCATGACACTCAGCAGGTCCAGGCCTCACCCTTTCCATGTGTCAAGCAAGCAGGTGGGCTAGATCATCATTACAGCTGTCTCTTCCAGTTCTCTCTGCTAACATTATCATTCTATGTTTCCTTACAGCTTTCTTTTTTTTTTTTTTTTGAGACAGAGTCTCGCTCTGCTGCCCAGGCTGGAGTGCAGTGGCCAGATCTCGGCTCACTGCAAGCTCTGCCTCCCGGGTTCACGCCATTCTCCTGCCTCAGCCTCCTGAGTAGCTGGGACTACAGGCGCCCGCCACCGCGCCCGGCTAGTTTTTTGTATTTTTTAGTAGAGACGGGGTTTCACCGTGTCAGCCAGGATGATCTCGATCTCCTGACCTCGTGATCCGCCCGTCTCGGCCTCCCAAAGTGCTGGGATTACAGGCTTGAGCCACCGCGCCCGGCCCTCCTTACAGCTTTCATAGTAAGGTTACCTGAAATAAAAACTGAAAACACAGCATTTAAACTGGAAAAAAAGTGATTCTGTCATATCTGCTCTCAGAATTTATAGACATGAGGAATAGAACACGAAAATGAGTTCCTACCAAAATCGAATTCTGAATATGACCAAATTTGTAGGCCCAATTATACAAGTTTTATGCATGACTTGAAAAAATACTATTAAGTTCTTTTTTTTTTTTTTTTTTTTTTTGTAAGTGTTGTAATTTATAATATAAAGAGAAGTGGCCAGATCTCGGCTCACTGCAAGCTCTGCCTCCCAGGTTTACGCCATTCTCCTGCCTCAGCAGTGGCCGGATCTCAGCTCACTGCAAGCTCTGTCCCAGGTTTACGCCATTCTCCTGCCTCAGCCTCCCGAGTAGCTGGGACTACAGGCGCCCGCCACCTCGCCCGGCTAGTTTTTTGTATTTTTTTTAGTACAGACGGGGTTTCACCGTGTTAGCCAGGATGGTCTCGATCTCCTGACCTTGTGATCCACCCATCTCGGTCTCCCAAAGTGCTGGGATTACAGGCTTGAGCCACCGCGCCTGGCCACTATTAAGTTCTTAATGCCCAATCCGCTGAGTTAAAAAACATTTCAGATCTGGTATGATGGCTCACACCTGTAATCCTAGCACTTGGGGAGGCTGGGGCGGGAGCATCGCTTAACCCATTTAGGCCAGAGGTTGCAGATTTTTTGTGTGTGAAAAAATCATACCTTGGCAATGACCTTGAGCGGTAAGATATAACTCCCACAAGCTGGGTTAAGCCCTGGAGTTTGAGATCAGCCTGGGCAACATAGTGAGAATCCATATCTAAAAAAATTTTTTAAATGGCCAGCCATGATAGCATGTGACTGTAGTCCCAGCTACTTAGGAGTCTGAGGCAGGAGGATTGCTTAAGCCCAGGAGGTCCAGGCTGTAGTGAGCTGCAGTTGTACCACTGCACTCCAGCCTGGGGACAGAGTAAGACCCTGCCTCTTAAAAAACAAAAACAAACAAACAAAAAGAACCACATTTCAACAGACTGCAACTGTCACTCCCATCATCCCATTCACACACCCTTATTTAAGCACATATTTCACAGTAAAAGTACATCAGCATCAACACAGATTTTCTGCAAAACAACTGGGAGTCATATTACAACTTGTGAGACTGCTTGGAAAAACACATAAACCAGAAGTGATAAGCATCACAGGTTGAGGTGTGCAACAAGAAAAAAGAGGTATGCCAAGAGAAATGGCAGGTAGACAGGCTCTTACAGCATAGCATCAACACTGTGAAGCCACTGTCAACAACTTACTCTTTAATTTTCCAGTTTCAGAAATTTGACTATCAGTATATTCAGAGATACATGAACAGTCTCCTGGGAGCAGAGGCACATTCTAACTGCATTTATTTATTTATTTATTGAGACGGAGTCTCGCTGTCGCCCCAGGTGGAGTGCAGTGCCGGGATCTCGGCTCACTGCAAGCTCCGCCTCCCGGGTTCACGCCATTCTCCTGCCTCGGCCTCCTGAGTAGCTGGGACTACAGGCTCCTGCCACCATGCCCAGCTTTTTTTTTTTTTTTGGTTTTTTTAGTAGAGACAGGGTTTCGCCGTGTTAGCCAGCATGGTCTCAATCTCCTGACTTTGTGATGCGCCCGTCTCTGCCCCCTAAAGTGCTGGGATTACAGAGTGAGCCAACGCGCCCGGTCATTAACTGTATTTATAAACGAAAATTTATTTATTTGCAAGGAGGAATCAAACTCAGGAGAATCAAAATGATCCTATGCAGGCTGGGTGCCGTGGCTCACGCCTGTAATACCAACACTTTGGGAGGATGAGGTAGGAAGATTGTTTGAGGCCAGGAATGCAAAGCCAGACTGGGCAACACAACAAGACCCCACCTCTAAAATAATAATAATAATAATAATTAGCTGGCATGGTAGCATATGCCTGTAGTCTCAACTATTTGGGAGACTGAAGCAGGAGGATCACCTGAGCCCAGGAGTTCATGGTTGCAGTGAGCTATGATTGTACCACGGCACTCCAGCCTGGGAAACAGAATAAGATCTTGTCTCTTAAAAAAAGAAGAAGAAGAAAACTGCAATTGGAACAACTGTCGGATTTCAAAGCCCATACTCAAGTATTATATACAGCTTTCCCAAACATAACCCTGAAGTGGCCTGGTGAATTATGTGAGTGACTTTAACAAGCACTACTAAGCCATCCATTGCCACAAAGAGACTCTATCCACCAGGAGGATTAAAATACTGTCCACTGCTCAACGCATCCCCATGCCCTGAACATGAGGAAACACCACCAACTGCCCGCTCTGACTCCCACTTCACAGATGCCATACTTCATTCCATCACTGCTCAGTTGCCACAGTATTTCCTCAGCAGACAATATCATTTTTTAAAGGAAGGCAGCATGATCTAACAAATAAAAATGTAAAATCTAGATAATCACCACACTGAGCATGTCTATGAAATATGGAATGTTGCTCCGCGCCAATTTCCTGGAAACACTAGACTGAAGAACCTGGGTGAGGAGCACGCGTTCCTCACACTGACGAAGCAGCAGCTGTGCTCCGTTTTAGTCTAAGGACATAAATGAGATCAACTAAAGCTCAGCTAAAATTGTAATTGCCACAAAGAACTGATTTCATTTTGTTTAAACAGGCTTAAGAGTCCAAGACAGACAATTATTTTGCAGCAAAAGTCCCAAAATAAATACATGTGATCTTCCAACGGAACATGAGTATCTATTAGACATGGCTTCAAATCTCTACCAATCAAAACAAAAGGCGTTCCACGGCAGCATTCTCGATCCTTCCACCACGCATGTTACCCAACTCAACAGCTACAAAGCCCAAAATTCAAGTTTTGCCAGTTATAAGAACACACAACAAGAAAATGTATACAGCTATGAGTCTTAATCAGCAAAACTGGCGCAACTGCTGGTACTTACTCCAGAGGAGGCACCTCAGAGACTGAATTATAATCTTAATCAACATTTGACAACAGACTAATTAATAAAACTCCAGAACTTTTAAGCATGAGGTCAGGTGTTTTCTGGTCTCTGAATGAGAGCCTTCTGTTAACAAAAAGCTTAACAATTTCTAGCATTAAAGAACATAAACTGGTAGGCCAGGTGCAGTGGCTCACACCTGTAATCCCAACACTTTAGGAGGCCGAGGCGGGAGGACTGCTTGAGGTTAGGAGTTCAAGCCCAGCACTGGCAAGACCGCGTCTCAAAAAAAAAAAAAAAGTCTCAGCTACTTGGGAGGATCCCTTGATCCCAACATGCTGAGGATACAGTGAGTTGTGATTGCAACACTGCATTCCAGCCCAAGTGAGAGCGAGATCCCATCTCTAAAAAATAAATAATAAAGATAAAACAAGGACCATAAACTGGCTACAAAACACTTGGAATTACACCTGAATGGCTTCATAATAGTATTGCCATTAATCAAATGCCCACTATCTACCAAGTGATCTACATATTCTACCCCATGTAATAGCCAATTTGACTTGTATAACCCTCTCTGGAAGGCAATTCGGCAACAGTTACTAAAAACCTTTCAAAGACTTTATGTCTTTGATCTGGCAACTGCATATCTAAGAATTTATTCTGAGAAAATAACAGAAATGGAGGCTACAGCCTTAAGTATATGGATGTTCATGCCATGTTACTTATAACTGCTTCCAATTTTCCCCAGTATTATGCTTAATAAAAGGGAGATTGTTAAATAAATTACAATACATCTATATGATGGTATACTATGTACCCTTTAAAATCATCAATTTGGGGCCAGTTGCGGGGGCTCAAGCCTGTAATCCCAGCACTTTGGGAGGACAAGGCAGGCGGATCATCTGAGGTCAGGAGTTTGAGACCAGCCTGGCCAACATAGTGAAACCCCATCTCCAAAGAAAATAAAAAAATCAGTCAGATGTGGTGGAGCACACCTGTAGTCTCAGCTACTTGGGAGGCTGAGGTGGCAGGATCACTTGAGCCCAGGAGGTTGAGGCTACAGTGACCCGTGATCGTACTACTGCCTAGGTGACAGAGCGAGACCGTCTCAAAACAAAAAAACAAACACATATAAAACAGTGGTTTACAAACCACAAATCATGCTGTGTGCATTTTCAAGATCATACAATTACTGCTATTATTTGCCTTTCATTTGAGGGTCCTTATACATTGTGCCTACTTTTTCCATGTGCCACCTACAGAGGTAAATTATCAGGATGCTTCAAAAATATGAGGACATTAATTTAAAGTGAAGCTAAGTTCTGACAAGTGTTTGAAGTTCACCCAGGCAAGTCTGCATCAAAGCATCAAACAGAGCCACGACTGGCTTCCAAGCCCACACTATTAAGAGACGGAACATGCCCAGCTTTAATCACACGTACAAGTAGAGATGGCTTCTGTTCTAAATTTGTTATCACTGAATTATAACTACTATAATCAGACTAGAGCTGTTAAAAATTAGCACCTTTTCCAACTGTATGCTTATGCACAATTGACACTCAGGTGAAAGACTGAATTCTAAACCAGTGATAACCAATGTAGGGCAGCCATGCAAGACAATTCTTTAAGGGTGGAGGAAGAAACTGAAAGTATTAGAATTTTCATTTCCATTTATTTTAGTTCGACCTTCCTTAAATTCCATTTTGTGTGTGTACAATGTTACTTCTTATATATAATGTGCTATATATGCATATAATGCACGTTATGTGTATATTATACATGGTCATATATAATGCATAAAATGTATCAGTTCATGTATATAATGCATTATATACATAACAGGAGCATAATCTGAAACATTTTACTGATAGGGATACATGAATGAAAGTTTGGACACCAGTTGTCTGGACACATAGTGGCAGGAAAAAATAGCCAGGAACATAAAAATACATATATTTCCTTGAAGAAATGGAGTCAGAAATGAGAGGTGAAGGAATGGGAATGGAGAAAGTAAACAAGAGGAGGAGTTAAACAGTCAAGGAAAGGAAGGGAAGATGAGTAATATGAGAGAACCCTGGGAGGTAATGGGGGGGGGCCCGCAAGTAAGTAAACATGGTATATTTGTGGGTAAAAACTATAATGATGTTTACTTTTACGATTTGATGAAAGGAAATGACTCAAGTGTCTAGGGTGGATCCTGTTCCTGCCTGATGGGCAAGCAAGTGAAAGACAACCGACCACCAGACACCTTAAAATAGATACTGTGTTGTCAGGTTACAATGGAGCCAACAGAACAGACTGGAAAAACAGGAGCTGTTTATGGCTATCTAACACAGGCTTAACACCAGTTGGAGCCCAAGTTTCTATAAGCTAATTTGGCTTGGGAAGGAAGTAAATGCCGAAACACTGACGTAATGAACAAGAAATAATTTGGAGTTAGCCTATGTTCAATTACTAAGGTATTCCTAACTTTCCCGACTGGCAGAGGGCAATGCCTGGCTGACCACACAATAAATCGTCTTTTGTGATGGCTGTAACAAGAAATTTAAGTCAATTAAAGGGGGTGTCAGATATCCCTTTAATTGACTTAAATTTCTTGGTTCAGCCATCACAAAAAGTGCAGGAATGGAAACAATCTCAACCTCTGTCTTTTCTCAGGCCCTAACTAACAACAAAACCAATTTACATTTTAATTTCTTATTTTCCCTACCAGCCGGTGACTACAACGAGGGTAATATAACAACTCGAGGAAAAAAACAACTGAAAAAGCCACTATCAAAAATTGAAGAGTTGTCCGGACGCGATGGCTCACGCCTATAATTCCAGAATTTTGGGAGGCCAAGGAGGGCGGATCACTTGAGGTCAGGAGTTGGAGATCAGCCTGGCCAACACGGTGAAACCCCGTCTCTACTAAAAATACAAAATTAGCCGGGCGTGGTGGCGCGCGCCTGCAATCCCAGCTACTCAGGAGGTTGAGGCAGGAGAATCGCTTGAACCCGGGAGGCAGAGGTTGCAGTGAGCTAAGACCGCACCACTGCACTCCAGCATGGACGACAGAGCGAGACTCCGTCTCAACAAAAAAGAAAAAGAAGGAAAAAAAAATTGAAGAGTTGATTTTCTCTATTTAAGCAGTCCTTTCCCAGTTCCCAGTTCTCCACATGAGGCATTCACTGACAGGAACTGGTTCCTGAGCTTTTGTGGATTAACTTTTGAAATTCTTTCTGAACAGCTTTATGCCAAGGTTCTAAAGTTCACATTGTGTAAAGGAATCATACTTCTGAACAAAATATTGACACATGTGTTTACCATAACACAGCAAAACAAGCTGTAGTTGGGCAATCGTTTTGTAAACTATTTCATAACTGCAGTAGAAAATCAAGATTTACATGATGGAGCCTTGGGAGACTTCTGTAATTTTCCTAATGTTTAGACTACGTCCTCTAGGCTAAATTTATTAAGTCATGATCTAAGTGTTTTAGTGTAAAGTTTACAGGGTTATTGTCACCGATTCTGTTTGATAAAGACTAGGGGCAGCCCCAAAGCATTTTGAGAATTACTTTGCTTAGTTAAAATATGAGAGGTTGAACTTCTTTCCAGCAAGCTGAGTAGGGAAATGAAACCACCAAACAGCAGATATTAGGCCGTTTCCAAGCACATATCCTTTTAAAGCATTGAGCTTTGAACTGACCCAAACTCTGAACTGTGGCCTGAAAGAAAAAGGGCCCTCTGGCTTACTACCAGGGTAGAACCGAAAGAAACAAACAGCTTGAGTTGAACCAACAGGTACTGTTTTTCAAAAGAATTTAACCAGAAACGCATGTAGTGGGTAAAGAGCACTTCCAAAGACCCCAAAACGAGGTAGTGCAAGTCTTAAACTTTTTCTTTCACCGGAAGTGCAAATCTGTGCATTTAAACTGCGTATATTTAAGCAGAAACCCTCTCCAAAAAAAAAAAGAGAGAAGCAGAGGAACATCTATCTACCACAGTGATCCAAACTGGTATTTCTGGTTTGCAGGACGCATGAACCCTAGCAAACCCAGGGCTGCTTCTGAGGTCCACAACGATATCCTACACTCGGGATCAGAAAAAGGGCCAAAGAGCCAAAGGTGAGGAGGGTTAGCGCTGCTCTACAGTCCACGCGCCCCTCACGCTGCAGTGGGTGCGTCTGCGGTCAGGTTCTCCGCTCCCTCTCCTCGTACCCCACCCCACGCTCGGGGTGTGTGAGGGCAGCTACCGATGCCAGCTCCCCAGCTCCTTCCCGGATGCGGGGGTGACCTGAGAATGGCTATCCCTGCTCACCCCAGCCCCCAATTCTTCACCAGTAGCAAAGGGAGTGCGGCCCCGAGGCGGGGAGGGCTTAGCTCCGGGGCAGGCCCGGCTCGCTGCCCGGCGTACCTGGCTCTCGGCTGCGGGGATGCCAGACTCGAGCTCGCACAGCGCGCGGAAGTTGTGCAGCTCGAAGTCGGCGTCGACCTGGAGGGAAAAGGTCACCTCGGAGAGGTCCCTCCGCACACAGTACACGGTGAGCAGCATGGCCCGGGCCCGACCCGGCTCGGCCCGGCCTGGGCGCGGGGCGCAGGGGAAGAGGCGGCGGCGTGGCCTGGCTGGTGCTGCGGAAGGCCGGCGCGGGCTGCTCGCTCGCTCGCTCCCTCCCTCACACACGCTCAGTGAGTCACTCCCGCCCGCCCTCACTAGCAAGCACGGCCGCCGCCACCCGCCTGCGAGTCCGTCTGCCTGCCCGCCTGCCTCCCACGGCTGCCGCCAAGCGCGCCGCCCGCCCGGCGCCCCGCCCCGCCGCAACTCGGCTGCCGTAAAGCCCGCCTCGCCTTCCCCGCCTTCGCGACGCAGCGGGGGGCGGGGACTGGAAGGGGAGGAGGAAGCCTGGAGAAGATAGGAGGGGGAGGAGTGGGAAGGGGGCGTGGGAGGGGAGAGGGAGGAAGGGCGAGAAAAGGGGAGGGAAGGAAAGGAACGCGGAGAAGGAAATCTCTGCTGACTGGTTGACTTAATGACTGAGGTCTGTGGAGGAGTCCCCAGTCTTATTTGTTCACCGAACAGGCATTAAGTGCCTACCATGTGTCGGGCGCCGGCGACGCAGAAATGAAAAGATAAATCCTTCTCCGTAACTCTCAATCTAGTACAGGAGTTAGTAATAAAAACGTATTCTTCGTGGTAGAAATTGAGGCTCCGAGAGAGTAATTCACTTCCTGTCTCAGTGATTTAGGATTAAAACCAAAATCATTACCCTCCCTAGTCTATAGAAGCCAGTTGGCTGTGGCCCACGCCTACCTCCCCAGCCCCTTCTCCCGAGCTCTTCCCACATTCTCTGCCCTCCCAGCCACATAGCTCAGTTCCTACAAGGCTCCATTCCCCTGTCTTGTAAATAGTTTTCTCTCTACTTGGACTGTCTGTTTCCTAGCCCTAGCAACCCCTACCACCTAGCGCAGTGCCTTTTTGGGCACAGCTTAGAATCTGCTCAATAAATATTTGCTACTTTAATGGCCTGTTTAAGGCACATAGCTGATGAGTGATAGAGACCCAGAACTAACGTGTGGATGAGTAAGAAAACCAAAATTGAAAGATGAATTTGTAATGGATGCCAGATTAGCATCTTTCCATTTACTCCCACTCCCCCGTCCATGTAGGGAGCCCTTTTCCATTTTAACAGGAGAGAAGGAGCAAATAAGATGGCTGTGGGTGCAGGTAAGTAGGTAGTAAGTAGGCTGTTGGTGCAGGAAAGGGAGAATTAGCAGCTGAAGGCTTTTACGAAGAGAAAGTAGAGGAACAGGGTAGTGAGAATGCTTATATCCCCTACGAGCAACGGAAAGCTTGACTATCAGTGGCTTAAACAAACAAGGGTTTATTTTCTCACAGGAGAGAAGGCCTGGAGGTAGCAACAGCATTGGTTGAGTGGCTCACGGAAATTAGGGTCAATACCTCTGTAATTGTTTTGACCGTTTCCTGAGGGTTGCAATATATGGCTGGCTGCCTCCACGCCATGCATCATTTTCCTATTCAAGGGAAAAGGTTGCCCAGAAGTCCCTGTGCACATTTTTGCTTACATCTCACTGGACAGAATTGTGTCACATAGATGCGTAGAGGCTAGGAAAGCAAGTCTTTAGCTTTGCCTAAAGGACATAAATAGGGAAAAGGGAGGCTGGGAATGGGTATTAGGAAAGACATACACAGTGCCTTCTACAGTGAATGTTTGAAATGACCATTGCAAATTGAAGTAAGTTTAGCCGAGAAATGTTCTAGGATTGTCCAGTGGGGGTATCAAGGAATCAGATGAGGCTGGACTCATTGGTTAATTGTTATATTTGGTCTAGTGGTGCTCAGGTTCCCAGGTCTGGCAGATTTTGTTCTCCAAAGATGATCATGACAGTGTCTCCCATCCTATATGCTCTTCCTACAATGTGATTGTGACAACCCTCCCATTAAGAAGTGGGGTGTATGTCCCTCCCTTCGAATCATGGCTCCGCAGACTAACTCTGGCATAAGTGACATTATGTGATTTCCTTTTTTTTCCCAAGGCAGAGTCTTGGTCTGTCACCCAGGCTGGAGTGCAGTGGCACGATCATGGCTCACTGCAGCTTCAACCTCCAGGGCTCGAGGCTCAAGCGATCCCTCCAGCTCAACCTCCCTAGCAGCTGGAACTACAGGTGTACACCACCACACACAGCTAATTTCTTTTTAGTAGAGATGAGGTCTTGCTATGTTGCCCAGGCTTGATTTCCTTTTTATTATAATTTTAGATTATTTTTAATTTAAAAAAAAATAGTGATGAGGCCTTGCTATGTTGACCAGGCTAATCTCCAAATCCTGGCCTCAAGTGATCCTCCCACCTTGGCCTTCCGAACTGCTAGGATTACAGATGTGAGCCATCGCACCCAGCCACTTTGTGTGATTTCTAAGGCTAGGTCTTGCCTGTGTCCACCTGGGGTCAGCAGTTCTCACCCAGCATCCAGAAATATATGCCAGACACCAATGGAGGGGACAGAGCAATGGTGGACAGGCTCAAGGTGGGGCTGCTGCTTCTGGCACTGCTCCTACTCATGCAGATTTATTCAAATCAAACTATTGTAACGCTTTCAAGTAACTCCTCCCAGGGTACCTTGTCTGCCCCAAGCCCAGCTAATGCCACCACCAAGGCAGTTGGCAGTGCCCTGCAGTCAATTGCCAGTCTCCTCATGGTCTTGCTTTCTCTTCTATATTTCTACTGTTAAGAAACATCTGCCGGGCGCGGTGGCTCACACCTGTAATCCCAGCACTTTGGGAGGCCAAGGCGGGCGGAGATCAAGACCATCCTGGCTAACATGGTGAAACCCCGTCTCCACTAAAAATCAAAAAAAAACTTTAGCCGGGCATGGTGGTGGGCGCCTGTAGTCCCAGCTACTCGGGAGGCTGAGGCAGGAGAATCACTTGAACCTGGGAGGTGGAGGTTGCAGTGAGCTGAGATTGCTCCACTGCACTCCAGCCTGGGTAACAAGAGCAAAACTCTGTGAAAGAAAAGAGGAGGGGAGGGAAGGGGAGGGGAAAGAGAAAAGAGAAAGAAAGAGTTGAGAACCTCAAATTTAATTGGTTTGAAGAACACATGAAGGGTTTGACTAGATGATGGATGCCAATATTAAATCTGCTTAAATGTCATGTACAAGATGAAGAGAGGCAACATCCAAAATTGAAGACATTATTTCCTTGAATATGGCTTAAGAAATGTGGACACCATGGAATACTATGCATCCATAAAAAAGGATGAGTTTGTGTCCTTTGTAGGGACATGGATGCAGCTGGAAACCATCATTCTTAGCAAACTATCACAAGAACAGAAAACCAAACACCGCATGTTCTCACTCATAGGTGGGAACTGAACAATGAGATCACTTGGATTTGGGAAGGGGGACATCACACACCGGGGCCTATCATGGGGAGGGGGGAGGGGGGAGGGATTGCATTGGGAGTTATACCTGATGTAAATGACGAGTTGTTGGGTGCTGACGAGTTGATGGGTGCAGCACAGCAACATGGCACAAGTATACATATGTAACAAACCTGCACGTTATGCACATGTACCCTAGAACTTAAAGTATAATAATAATAATAATAATAAAATTAAAAAAAATAGAAATAGGAGTCTTTCTATGTTCCCAAGCTGTTCTTGAATTTCTAGGCTCAAGCAATCCTCTTACCTCATCTCCTAACGTGCTGGGATTACAGATATGAGCCATCATGCCCTGTTTGAAACACATTTTGTTATGTCAGTATTTTTAGATAGGTAGAACCTAGTCCTAAACTGTAAGGTAGGCTTGATTCTATAATAAAATTTTTTACAACTGTCTCGACACACAGAAACCTTTTTAAAAATAGACACTCCCTGAAGTCTTTTGTTCACAAGGTCACACACTGATGCTTAGGTGTTCCAGTATCTAATATGGCCACAGTAGTCTTGAAACATCTTTAGAAACCTACACGGGAACAGCTAGGTGCGGTGGCTCACGCCTGTAATCCCAGCATCTTTGGGAGGCTGAGGCAGGTGGATCATGAGGTCAGGAGATCGAGACCATCCTGGCTAACACGGTGAAACCCCATCTCTACTAAAAATACAAAAAATTAGCTGGGCTTAGTGGTGGGCGCCTGTAGTCCCAGCTACTCAGGAGGCTGAGGCAGGAGAATGGTGTGAACCCGGGAGGCGGCTTGCAGTAAGCCAAGACTGCGCCACTGTACTCCAACCTGGGCGAGAGTGAGACTCTGTCTCAAAAACAAGAACAAAAACAAACAAACAAACAAAAAACCTACACAGGAACAACAGAACAGCAGATGGAACAGACCTGAAGCCACTGTGTGTGTGAATGAACACTCCTTTTTGCTTCATGCCGAAATGCTGTACATTTATTTTGGTTGTATATTTGTGTGTTTATGCTTTGATTCATAGTAACTTGTTATGAAATTGATTTGTATTGAATACAAACTGCAAATAAAAATAAATCAGGTTGGGCGCGGTGGCTCACGCCTGTAATCACGAGCACTTTGGTGGATGACCCGAGGTCAGGAGTTCAAGACCAGCCTGGCCAACATGGCGAGACACTATCTCTACTAAAAATACAAAAATTAGCTGGGTGTGGTGGCGGGTGCCTGTAATCCCAGCTACCTGGCAGGCTGAGTCAGGAGAATCGCTTGAACCAGGGAGGCGGAGGTTGCGGTGAGCTGAGATCGTGCCATTGCACTCCAGCCTGGACAACAAGAGCGAACCTCCGTCTCAAAATAAATAAATAAATAAAATAAATCAATGGTTGGAAAAAAAGTCAATACAGTTTCTCTGGGATTCTCCTGGAACGCTTGCTCTTGGAACCCAGCAGCCATGCTGGGAGGAAGCCCAAACTACACCACACGGTGAGACCACATGGAGAAAATATGTGTGGTTGTTCCAGAAAGCTGCTCGGCTGAGGGGAAAGCTGATGAGTGGGAAAACCCACCAAACTTTCAGATGACTTCAATCCTCAGATGTTGAATCATCTCCAATTTATGAGTCTATCCAGATGAGGCTTCAGACATCACGGAGCCATCTCCACTGTACTCCCTTTGAATTTCTGACCTACAGAAATCTACAAGCATAATAAAATAAAAATACAAAGTAAAACCAAAATGAGATACCACTTTATGCTCACTAGGATGGCTATAATAAAAAAAACAGGGTTGGGCGTGGTGACTCATACCTGTAATCCCAGAACTTTGG